ACGACGGACGACGGACGACGGACGACGACGGACGAAAACGGATAGCAATAGGTCACTTGAGCTAAAGCTCAGGTGACCTAAAAACTAAATCATATTTCAGGTACAAACGTACATGATTCCAGGTATCTAATCTGATTTATACTTGTTACATAGAACACAGACATGGGAAAGATCAAATTTCATTGAAATTCAGTTACATCTTATTTCAAGTTTATAGTGTGTGAAGTAATTGGCAACAATATTTTCATTAACATGTATGTTTATTGTTTCATCTTAGCGTTGGGAAACAGTTGAAATTTTATGATCGATCATTGATTATTATTAACCAACAGAAATACAGTGAAATCATCCATGCTGTTGTTGCGAGTCACTTAGGCAAATAAAAAAGTGATACCATGTAATTATAATATAAGAAATACCTCTCTTCAAACACTGAATCTGTAATATACAGTCCTAACTAGCAGCTATAAGGCAAACGTAAGTCCTGCAGTGATGATGCCATCAATTTTACAAAGAAGCTGGGGAAAATGTCTACAGAAAACACCATCATATCTACACATTAGCATTCCGACTAAAATTGATCATGGATTTTGTACTCGATTAATCAGTTTGTTAGCCTATCTGACCAATGCTCGACTTAAACGATTTATCGGAACACCACTATTTCATCTTAAAAATTAAATCTCCAAAGAGTGACAACAACCCCTGAATGAATGGTCCCACAATCAGATAACAGCACATTTATTAAATATGTGCATGTCAGTGATAATAATAAATAACTTGAGGTTCTTATGTACCGCTTTATCACAACCTAGTCCGTAGGTCAACTCCCTGGGGAGAGCCGGTGCTGCCATTTCGGCACTCACAGCTACCATTCAACAATTCTAGCACTACCCAACCACATACTCATTTATAGCTGAGTAGACTGGAACAAGCAGAGTAAAGTATCTTGCTCAAAGATACAACACAGTGCCGTAACGTGATACAAACATGCATCCCTTCGGTGACGAGCCCAGTGTCCTACTACCAAACTACTGTGCCTACCGTGATCACTAACTTCACATCTTAAAGTAAACCTTATGACCATGTCTCATTATTCTTATTCTCCAATTCAAAGGTTGGAATAGTTCAATATGGAATTTCAGGGGTGAATGAGTTAACTAAGTTATTGTGCAGAAAATTTCACTGTAAAAGGATGCTGAAATTGGATTATAACTTTATTACTAAGAGAGTTACAACACAGCAATCTAAGAGTGACAGATGGGCAGGCTGACATGCCAAATTTAATAACAACCCTAAGCTTTTCAAAGAAGTATTGGAAAACCATTTTGATTTTCACGATAAATATTTGATGAAACGAAATAAATCTGGTGTCTGTAAATATCCTCTATATAGTGACGTTGAGCAGTTGTCTTACTTGTAAGGGAACTCAATGAGCGTGTCAATCTTGTCACGGTAGTAACGGTTGTAGGAGAACCTCTTCAGGTGAATGATGAGCACATCTGGCAATGACCACAGGTCAAATTTCTTTGTAGCTTGTTGGTGCTTTTTACATTGTGGACAATACCTGCAATAAAAATAAAGAAGAGACATACAATGAACTAATGATATCACGTGACTTGTCTGTGGGTTTACTTGTATCTATCAAATAATATAAAACTACAATAACTGGAAAATACTTGTATGAACTGGATGTCTTTTACAACAGACATGAAACAAGTTCTACCTACATTAGTGAATCACTAGTGTGGCCCAAATAGAACTGTGTAGGGGGTCGTACTGTGTAAGGGGTCATACTGTGAAGGTCATCATACTGTGGAGGGGGTCATACTGTTGAGGGGGTCGTACTGTGGAGGGGGTCGTACTGTGTAGGATCATAATGTGGAGAGGGTTGTACTGTGGAGGGGGTCATGCTGTGGAGGGGATCGTATTGTGGAGGTCATACTGTGGAGGAGGTCGTACTGTGGAGGGGGTTGTACTGTGTAGGGGTCGTACTGTGGAGGGGGTCGTACTGTGGAGGGGGTCGTACTGTGTAGAGAACCTTCAATACCCAAAAAAAATATTATGGTGAGGAGGATTAGCATTACCTTTCCACACCTGATAAAGGAACAAGATAACTCAAAGTGTGACATTATCCCCCGCGCTTCGCTGTTTAAAAGACACACAATCATATATATATATATATGTATGTTAATATTACAATAACAGGTATTAACTCCATTCCACCACTGTTACTGATATTTTGATGTAGATCATCTTTTAAAAAAACCATTACTGTTACGGATATTTTGATGTAGATCATCTTTTTAAAAAACCGCTTAAGACTTCCCCATCAAAAAAGACTTGATAAGTGTACAAAACTTCCTGTATACATCTTGAATGCAAACGGCTCCCATAGAGTGCTAGGTTGATCAGTGTACAAGTTAAATTTCAATTTGTTAATTTTAATAGTTTTGAGATCATGCTTCAGAAATCTCAAATTTCATATTTTTGCCTTTTCCCATGGCAACAGAAAAAGAAAAAAAAAAAGAAAAAATATCCAAAATGAGAACTCCTCCAGTAGCAAAATGCACCAAGAGAGTGCTAGCTTGTACAAAGTTTCAGGCAGTTCTTGGGCAATTTTGTTGCCATGCTCTGGAAACCGTGAAATTTGTAATTTTGCCTAACTAGAGTGATAGGATGATATGTGGACAAAGTTTCAGGTACATGTAGTTATCTTGAAAGGTTTTGGCCTTTTACTCCGGAAACATCAAAATTTGTAGTTTTGCCTATCTGTTTCCATGGTAACCAATTAAAAAAAAATGAGCACTCCTACATAGCTAAAGCCACTACCAGAATGATAGCTTGTTATTTATATAAAGTGTCAGGTAGTTATCTTAACGGTTTTTGAGTCATGATCCATACAACTGAAATTTGAAATTTGGCCATCTGTTTCCATGGTAACAGAAAAAGTATTTAAATGGAGAATTTCTCCATAGCAAAAGGCACTGCTACAGTACTAGCTTGATAACTGTACAAAGTTTTGAGTAGGAGAACTTCTCCATAGCAAAAGGCACTACTAGAGTACTTGATAACTGTACAAAGTTTTGGTCCGGAAAATGCCCATGCACGGAGGCACAGACGGACTGAAGGATGCACGGACGGCGGAGCCCAATTTAATATCCCCCGAAAACGCGTTTCGGGGGGGATAATGAAACAATGGCCGTCCTGGCAGATAATAAAACAATGGCCGTCCTGGGGGATAATAAAACAATGGCCGTCCTAGGGGATAAAAAACAATGGCCGTCCTAGGGGATAATAAACAATGGCCGTCCTGGGGGATAATAAAACAATGGCTGTCCTGGGGGATAATAAAACAATGGCCGTCCCGGGGGATAATAAAACAATGGCCGTCCTGGGGGAAGGTGAATGTGGTATCCACTGTGCCACCAAACCATCCGAAGTGAAATTATTGATATTGATTTATAAACAATTCATATAAACCTTTACTTTTATTTTCTCCCTCCTCATGTTTGAATACTAGTAAATGGCAATGCAAATGAAATGCAGAATCTTTCTAAACTACTTGATGAACATGGGTGGTCGGGTGATGCAGTGGTTAGCGCACTTGCCTTTCACCATGGCGGACGGGGTTTGACTCCCCGAATGGACGTGAAAAGGTATGGGGTCACCTGCCCGACCACATGGATTTTCTCTGTCTACTCACATTTCCTCCCACAATAAGACACCCCCAAGTGCTAACATCTGGGCCAACAAGAGTGATTGATATAAGTTAAAAAAGCTTGTTTCATAATTATTGTAAAATAAATAAAGTTAATATTTTTTATGAACATAATTATATTTTAAAGGAATGACCAAGTTTGAAGACAAAGTGAGAAGTGTTCAGCAGTAACAATATTATCACAGGTTATAAAGACAGAAGTATTTACCAGAGGTCATTTTCACCCAGCTGTTCAATACGTGTAAAGAGCTCCAGACAGTCGTCCAGTTGTAGCACCTGTTTCCTCTGCAGCCTCTGTTTCACAGACTCATGCTGCTCCAAGTCCTGCACAACAAAAAGCTAGCTTTTACTTAGTCACACAAAACACATAATATTGAGCTAGGTTTTACTTAGTCACACAAAACACATATTATTGAGCTAGGTTTTTCTGTTTCTAAATCAGGAAATTCAATCATCTGCAACTTTAACTCAGCCATGTTCCTCCCCAGCTGAAGTGTCTTGATTGCTTGGACACTTTTGAAAAGAGAAAAGGTAGTTTTTCCCCTAAAACACCAGCTGATGAGTGAATCAATGGGCTTATATGGGTCTATTTTGCATGGTTAAATAGCTTGTATTTCCCTCACATTGACTACCTGGTAAATAGCTGGTATTTCACTGATGATGATAAACTAGCCAGTAATTCACAGACATTCACTAGACTAACTAGCCAGTAATTCACAGACATTCACTAGACTAACTAGCTAGTAATTCACAGACATTCACTAAACTAACTAGCCAGTAGTTCACAGACATTCACTAGACTAACTAGCCAGTAGTTCACAGACATTCAATAGACTAACTAGCCAGTAATTCACAGACATTCACTAGACTAACTAGCCAGTAGTTCACAGACATTCAATAGACAGTAATTCACTGACATTCACAAGACTAACAAGCCAGTAATTCACAGACATTCACTAGACTAACTAGCCAGTAATTCACACCCACTCACTAGACTAACTAGCCAGTAATTCACACCCATTCACTAGACTAACTAGCCAGTAATTCACACCCATTCAATAGACTAACTAGCCAGTAATTCACAGACATTCACTAAATAGCTTGTATTTCACAAACGTTGACTAACAAGCTGACATTTCATAGACAAGGATTTAATAGCTGATATTTCACTGCTGGTGATTACATAGCAGTACTTGAGGAAATCACTAGCTATATCTGAATGACCTTGTGGACCACTTTGGTAATCTTTCCTTGTGACGAAATGTTCAATCGCGTAATAATATTTGTACTGCCTACTCACCTCTGCTGCCTGTTCATCATAGAATTTGTCCTTTGCTAGAGGGTGCCAGTCCACGGCTATATGTGTACGATCTGTGGGCAGAAACAAGGAACTCGTTATCAGATAATCAGGTGACATTTGACCTTGAACCTTTATTAGAGTCTGGAAAGTCAAGGTTATCCTTGGTTTCAAATAATTAATAGGTACAGTGTACTATAAAAGTGACCAACTTATTCCTTTCAGGATCGTCTACCTTGTAAATAAACTATGAATGAATTATTCCATTATACCAGGAATGGTGCTATGAAGTAGGATGGAAATAAGTATAATTTCTATGAGAACAATGAACGAGAGTAAGAAGATGCTTACAGCACTCAAACATTGTTCAATAACACTAAATACGATGACCTGAGACACTAAATACAATGACCTGAGATGCTTATTACAATGACCTGTGAAACCTATTACAATGACCTGTGAAACCTATTACAATGACCTGTGGCACTAAATACAATGACCTGTGACACTAATTACAATGACCTGCGACACTAATTACAATGACCTATGACACTAAATACAATGACCTGAGACACTTATTACAATGACCTGTGGCACTAAATACAATGACCTGAGACACTAATTACAATGACCTGCGACACTAATTACAATGACTTGAGACACTAAATACAATGACCTGAGACACTAGTTAAAATGACCTGAGACACTTATTACAATGACCTGTGAAACCTATTACAATGACCTGTGGCACTAAATACAATGACCTGTGACACTAATTACAATGACCTGCGACACTAATTACAATGGCCTATGACACTAAATACAATGACCTGAGACACTTATTACAATGACTTGTGAAACTTATTACAATGACCTGAGACACTAATTACAATGACCTATGGCACTAATTACAATGACCTATGACACTAATTACAATGACCTATAACACTAATTACAATGACCTGAGATACTTTATACATTGACCTGCGGCACTAAATACAATGAACTGTGACACTAATAACAACGACCTGATACACTAATTACAATGACCTGCAACACTAATTACAATGGCCTATGACACTAAATACAATGACCTGGGACACTAATTACAATGACCTGAGACATTAATTACAATGACCTGAGAAATTAATTACAATGACCTGTGCCTTTAATTACAATGACCTATGACACTAATTACAATGACCTATGACACTAATTACATTGACCTTCAGCACTAATTACAATGACCTGAGATACTTTATACATTGACCTGCGGCACTAAATACAATGAACTGTGACACTAATAACAACGACCTGATACACTAATTACAATGACCTGCGACACTAATTACAATGACCAGATACAATAATTACAATGACCTATGACACTAATTACATTGACCTGCGGCACTAATTACAATGACTTGATACCCTAAATACAATGACCTGAGACACTTATTACAATGACCAGATACATTAATTACAATGACCTATGACACTAATTACATTGACCTGCGGAACTAATTACAATGACTTGATACCCTAAATACAATGACCTGAGACAGTAAATACAATGAAATGTGACACTAGTTACAATGACCTGAGACCCTAGTTACAATGACCTGAGACACTAAATACAATGAACTGTGACACTATATACAATTACCTGAGACACTAAATACAATGACCCGAGACAGTAAATACAATGAAATGTGACACTAGTTACAATGACCTGAGACACTAGTTACAATGACCTGAGACATTAGTTATAATGACCTGAGACAGTAAATACAATGACCTGTGACACTATATACAATTACCTGAGACACTAAATACAATGACCTGAGACACTTATTATAATGACCTGAGACACTAAATACAATGAACTGTGACACTATATACAATTACCTGAGACACTAGTTACAATGACCTGAGACACTAGTTACAATGACCTGAGACACTAGTTATAATGACCTGAGACACTAAATACAATGAACTGTGACACTATATACAATTACCTGAGACACTTAATACAATGACCTGCAACACTAGTTATAATGACCTGTGACACTTACTATAATGACGTGTGACACTTACTATAATGACCTGTGACACTTACTATAAGGACCTGTGACACTTACTATAATGACCTGTGCCACTTACTATAATGACCTGTGACACTTACTATAATGTCCTGTAACACTAGTTATAATGACCTGTGACACTTCCTATAATGACCTGTAACACTTGTTATAATGACCTGTGACACTTACTATAATTACCTGTGACACTTACTATAATGACCTGTAACACTAATTTTAATTACCTGTGACACTTACTATAATGACCTGTAACACTTGTTATAATGACCTGTGACACTTACTATAATGACGTGTGACACTTACTATAATGACCTGTGACACTTACTATAAGGACCTGTGACACTTACTATAATGACCTGTAACACTTGTTATAATGACCTGTGACACTTACTATAATGACCTGTGCCACTTACTATAATGACCTGTGACACTTACTATAAGGACCTGTGACACTTACTATAATGACCTGTGACACTTACTATAAGGACCTGTGACACTTACTATAATGACCTGTAACACTTGTTATAATGACCTGTGACACTTACTATAATGTCCTGTGACACTTACTATAATGACCTGTAACACTAATTTTAATTACCTGTGACACTTACTATAATGACCTGTGCCACTTACTATAATGACCTGTGACACTTACTATAAGGACCTGTGACACTTACTATAATGACCTGTAACACTAGCTATAATGACCTGTGACACTTACTATAATGACGTGTGACACTTACTATAATGACCTGTGACACTTACTATAAGGACCTGTGACACTTACTATAATGACCTGTAACACTAATTTTAATTACCTGTGACACTTACTATAATGACCTGTGACACTTACTATAATTACCTGTGACACTTACTATAATGACCTGTGCCACTTACTATAATGACCTGTGACACTTACTATAATTACCTGTGACACTTACTATAATGACCTGTAACACTTGTTATAATGACCTGTGACACTTACTATAATGCCCTGTAACACTAGTTATAATGACCTGTGACACTTAATATAATGACCTGTAACACTAATTATAATTACCTGAGACACTTACTATAATGACCTGTGACACTTACTATAAGGACCTGTGACACTTACTATAATGACCTGTGACACTTACTATAATGACCTGTGACACTTACTATGCAAACGTAGAGGATTTCCGTCATTTTTCAATTTGTGGTCTATTTCTGCACTTCCATAAGAATTTACCATCCTAAATTTAAACAATGGCGGTGGTTCTATGTTAGCAACAGCACTTGTGTCTGTGTTTTCACTGCTAATTGTTTGTTTATCATCCGTTTCACTTTCTTTGTTCCCATTCGCAGCAGATATTTCCATTTCATTAGCTTCTACAAAAGAAAATCATTTCCGTAATGATCAAATACTGAAATAACAATATAATATGTAAATTGGATAAAGACTGTGGTGTGTCTAAATTATGTCACTTCTTTTCTGTGTAAGAAAGGAATCCAGCTATAGCTGATACAACCAAACCTGAGGTGTGGTGTACACTGTATTATTGAAGACACTTCAGATTCAGCTTATTTTCGATAGAAAGTATAATTTGGATTTGTTTTGTTTCTGTGGGGAACAGTTTCAACACTAAGATCCCATCTAATAGCAGTTTTTCCCTTGTGAACAAGTCTAACAGTCATGGCTGTGAACAAGTCACACAACTGTGGTAATGTACCAGACCAATAACATTTGTGGGTGTGAATCAGTCTAACATTTGTGGGTGTGAATCAGTCTAACATTTGTGGGTATGAATCAGTCTAACATTTGTGGGTGTGAATCAGTCTAACATTAGTGGGTGTGAATCAGTCTAACATTTGTGGGTGTGAATCAGTCTAACATTTGTGGGTGTGAACCAGACTAACATTAATGGGTGTGAACCAGTTTGGCAGTTTCACTGTGAACCAGTCTAAAATTGGTGGCTTTTTATTTAGTTTAAATGAAAGTTTAGACTGCTTTATATTAACTTTCAGCAAATGTTTACTGGGTGCTAAATATTTCGGATTGCTCATATGCTGTATAAGATGTTTCTATCCTGTATTGGATGTTTCTATCCTGTATTGAATGTTTCTATCCTGTATTAGATGTTTCTATGATGTTTCTATCCTGTATTTGATGTTTCTATCCTGTATTAGATATTTCTATCCAGTATTAGATGTTTCTATCCTATATTAGATGTTTCTATCCAGTATTAGATGTTTCTATCCTGTATTAGATGTTTCTATCCTATATTAGATGTTTCTATCCTGTATTAGATGTTTCTATCCTATATTAGATGTTTCTATCCTGTATTAGATGTTTCTATCCTGTATTAGATGTTTTTATCCTATATTAGATGTTTCTATTCTGTATTACATGTTTCTATCCTATATTAGATATTTCTATCCAGTATTAGATGTTTCTATCCTGTATTAGATTTAGATGTTTCTATCCTATATTGGATGTTTCTATCCTGTATTAGATGTTTCTATCCAGTATTAGATGTTTCTATCCTATATTGGATATTTCTATCCTGTATTAGATGTTTCTATCCTGTATTGGATGTTTCTATCCTGTATTAGATTTAGATGTTTCTATCCTGTATTACATGTTTCTATCCTGTATTGGATGTTTTTATCCTGTATTAGATATTTCTATCCAGTATTAGATGTTTCTATCCTGTATTAGATTTAGATGTTTCTATCCTATATTATATGTTTCTATCCTATATTAGATGTTTCTATCCTGTATTAGATTTAGATGTTTCTATCCTGTATTGGATGTTTCCATCCTGCAGTATTAGATGTTTCTATCCTGTATTAGATGTTTCTATCCTATATTAGATGGTCCTATCCAGTATTAGATGTTTCTATCCTGTATTAGATGTTTCTATCCTGTATTATATGTTTCTATCCTATATTAGATGTTTGTATTAGATGTTTCTATCCTATATTATATGTTTCTATCCTATATTATATGTTTCTATCCTATATTAGATGTTTCTCTGCTATATTAGATGTTTCTATCCAGTATTATATGTTTCTATCCTATATTAGATGTTTGTATTAGATGTTTCTATCCTATATTAGTGGATGTTTCCATCCTGCAGTATTAGATTTTTCTATCCTGTATTAGATGTTTCTATGCTATATTAGATGTTTCTATCCCGTATTATATGTTTCTATCCTGTATTAGATGTTTCTATGCTATATTAGATGTTTCTATCCTGTATTAGATGTTTTTATCCTGTATTGGATGTTTCTATCCTATATTAGATTTTTCTATGCTATATTAGATATTTCTATCCAGTATTACATGTTTCTATCCTGTATTAGATTTAGATGTTTCTATCCTATATTGGATGTTTCTATCCTGTATTAGATGTTTCTATCCTGTATTAGATGTTTCTATCCTATATTAGATGTTTCTATTCTGTATTACATGTTTCTATCCTGTATTAAATGTTTCTATCCTGTATTAGATGTTTCTATCCTGTATTAGATGTTTCTATCCTATATTAGATGTTTCTATCCTGTATTAGATGTTTTTATCCTGTATTGGATGTTTCTATCCTGTATTAGATGTTTCTATCCTATATTAGATGTTTCTATGCTATATTAGATGTTTCTATTCTGTATTACATGTTTCTATCCTGTATTAGATTTAGATGTTTCTATCCTATATTGGATGTTTCTATCCTGTATTAGATGTTTCTATCCAGTATTAGATATTTCTATCCAGTATTATATGTTTCTATTCTGTATTACATGTTTCTATCCTGTATTAGATTTTTCTATCCTGTATTAGATGTTTCCATCCAGTATTAGATATTTCTATCCAGTATTATATGTTTCTATTCTGTATTACTGGATAGAAATATCTAATACTGTATTAGATGTTTCTATCCTGTATTGAATGTTTCTATCCTGTCTATCCTGTATTAGATGTTTTTATCCTATATTAGATGTTTCTATTCTGTATTACATGTTTTTATCCTGTATTGGGTGTTTCTATGATGTTTCTATCCTGTATTACATGTTTCTATCCTGTATTAAATGTTTCTATCCTGTATTAGATGTGTCTATCCTATATTAGATGTTTCTATCCTGTATTGAATGTTTCTATCCTATTCTGTATTACATGTTTCTATCCCGTATTAAATGTTTCTATCCTGTATTAGATGTCTCTATCCTGTATTGAATGTTTCTATCCTATTCTGTATTACATGTTTCTATCCTATATTAGATGTTTCTATGCTATATTAGTTTCTATCCTGTATTAGATGTTTCTTCTATCCTGTATTAGATGTTTCTATGATGTTTCTATCCTGTATTACATGTTTCTATTCTGTATTAGATGTTTCTATGATAATTACATGTTTCTATCCTATATTAGATGGTCGTATCCAGTATTAGATGTTTCTATCCTGTATTAAATTTAGATGTTTCTACCCTGTATTGGATGTTTCCATCCTGCAGTATTAGATGTTTCTATCCTGTATTGAATGTTTCTATCCTGTATTAGATGTCTCTATCCTGTATTGAATGTTTCTATCCTGTATTAGATGTTTTTATCCTGTATTGAATGTTTCTATCCTATTCTGTATTACATGTTTCTATCCCGTATTAAATGTTTCTATCCTGTATTAGATGTTTCCATCCAGTATTAGATATTTCTATCCGGTATTATATGTTTCTATTCTGTATTACATGTTTTTAGCCTGTATTGGATGTTTCTATGATGTTGCTATCCTGTATTACATGTTTCTATTCTGTATTAGATGTTTCTATCCTATCTTAGATGTTTCTATTCTGTATTACATGTTTTTATCCTGTATTGGATGTTTCTATTATGTTTCTATCCTGTATTACATGTTTCTATTCTGTATTAGATGTTTCTATGATATTTCTATCCTGTATTACATGTTTCTATTCTGCATTAGATGTTTCTATCCTATATTAGAGGTTTCTATCCTGTATTAGATGTTTTTATTCTGTATTAGATGTTTCTATCCTATATTAGATGGTCGTATCCAGTATTAGATGTTTCTATGCTATATTAGATGTTTCTATTCTGTATTACATGTTTCTATCCTGTATTAGATGTGTCTATCCTATATTAGATGTTTCTATTCTGTATTACATGTTTCTATCCTATATTAGATGTTTCTATTCTGTATTACATGTTTTTATCCTGTATTGGATGTTTCTATGATGTTTCTATCCTGTATTACATGTTTCTATTCTGTATTAGATGTTTCTATCCTATATTAGATTTTTCTATCCTGTATTAGATGTTTTTATCCTGTATTAGATGTTTCTATGATGTTTCTATCCTGTATTACATGTTTCTATCCTGTATTAGATGTTTTTATTCTGTATTAGATGTTTCTATGATATTTCTATCCTGTATTACATGTTTCTATCCTGTATTAGATGTTTCTATCCTGTATTACATGTTTCTATCCTGTATTAGATGTTTTTATCCTGTATTAGATGTTTCTATGATATTTCTATATTGTATTACATGTTTCTATCCTGTATTAGATGTTTTTATCCTGTTTTAGATGTTTCTATGATGTTTCTATCCTGTATTGGATGTGAAGTAGTACCTCCATTGACTTGCTTCTGTTTGTTTTCCACAGCCATCCCATTTTCTTTTGTGATCTCCTCATCACTGTTGACTTGTTTGTTATCCTTTCCTTTGTTACAGTCTGACATTTGTCCGTCCTGCTCCTCCTCGTCCTTCCACCAACTACCTGCATTCTCTGGAACCTTCACATACCGCCTGCATAGAAACCAAAAACACCCTTATGCAACTGTCAGATAATATGCTCCTGTTGATGAGGATTGATTCTCTAGTGAGCAGCAGGCTAGGACCGTTTCTATAACAACTATCCCTATTCATCAATCCATTTAATTGGAGTTGGAGAAACATAATAAATGGTTGTCACTTTCCAAACCTCTCTATATAGAGCTTTGTGATTCCTCTTAACAACAGTACTTGTAATTTTCCTGAAGATAACAAATTGTATGCAAGAAAAAAGTACAGTTTTATCAATATATTAATATTAAGAAATATAAACAGGTCGTGTTATCAAATTAACACTGGACACCATCCAAATAACATAGGCAAATCTAATAAAAATTTAATAGATATATTGTGAAAGAGTAATACTTATATATATAGGATCTTACATGAGTTTCCATTTCATATGAGATTTATGAATCGAGTCTAAGAATTTTTCCATTTAGCAAGCCTCTGGTGAGCTAAAATGAAAAGTTTGTGACAAGTTTCATAAATTTCATATGAAATGAAAACAAGTGCAAGATCCTTTATATCACATAATCAAGATTTGTGGCATTTATTCATGTAAAACGACAATTTTCATGCAACCTTGAAATGTAAAAAGCCACCATTTTGACTCCAGTGCGTAAGTCTGTGACGTCATTTATTTGTCCTAGGCGTGACGTCACAATTGAAATAATAGAAACTTACAACCAATCAAAGGGCTAAAAGGTCATATTACATGGGTTAATATGCAAAAGATATGACATGGGTATATTCACTGGATAACACAGTACATTATGTGATAACACAGTACATTATGTGATAACACAGTACATTATGTGATAACACAGTACATTATGTGATAACATCTAATACAAAATTGTTACTCTGACTATTGTATGAGCTTTGATTAAAATCAGAGATGAAGTTGCTAGAGCCATGAAAAACATTTTCTATAAAAGGCTTAATGTAGAGGCAATGTCATAGTTTCTTCAATGATGAATCGTCTGGTACTCTGCTCCTCCTGTCTGGATACACCAGAGTACAATGGTTTGGTTTGGTTTGTGTTTTATGTCCTATTAACAGCAATGGTCATATAAGGACATGCCATGTTTTGGTGGCGGAGGAAAGCTGGAGTTCCCGAAGAAAAAACACCAATGTACGGCCAGTACCTGGCGACTGCCCCACGTAGGCCTCAAACATGCGACCCAGTGATGGAGGGCTAGTGGTAGCATATTTCAGATGCCTTAACCATCGCGGAGTACAATCAGCGATGGAGTAATATGTTGTGAATGAATCTATCACTTAGTGTTTTCTATAAAGGTAACAATGACCTTGACACCCTAAGAAAGGTATACTCATACTTGACTAATATTTGATGTTCGATAAAAATTCAAAGAAGAAATTGTGTCACTAGAATGCTGAAAGAGGTGACTAGAAATCGTAACTTTCGTGACATTTTACCTTTGAAGAGATAATAAAAACATTATACTCACGAGACCCTCTGTAGGAGCTGGTTGTACAGGACCTGGTAGGTGCATTCCCGTCGTGGGACAGGAAGGAGGAGGGGCTGACCGAACAGCTGGTACGTAGACATCTGGTAACTAGAATACTGGTTCTTCACTCTATAACACAGGCCAACACGAGTTTGAGAAAGGCAATATCTCATAAATACGTTACAGAGAAAAAACACTAACAACAAATACAGATTCAAGAGGAAGAATGGTCAGCATAGAATCGAAACAACTCAAAGGTATCCTAGGACAATGTCACTTCAGAAAGGGCCCCACCGTATATATATTGTAACAAGCAAAATGCAACATTCACTCGTTTTTTAAATAATATTAAAACATTTAGATAAAGCTTAATTGATTTGAACTCCAATTAAATGTGCAATGAAAATATAATTACCAGGTACTTCCAACTATTTTTCTATGTGTAAGTTTCAGTAACTAGTTGACCATTACTTACCTCTTCTCTCTCATGTATATGGGCACAATGACCGTGTCTGGGTCATCCCAAGCTACAGGGACTTCATATCTGCAAACCAATAAAAATCAAAACCCTTAACATAATAATAAACATCTATTTAGGTGTTCTATATTTTGTTTTGCCGTTCAAAAAGCTAACAGGAAATTAAGTTATCATTATCATATAACTTCATTGTGATTTTTTTTCTCTTTTTTCTAATAATGCTTGTTTATTTTCTGTATTAAAAACATCAAAATAAGTGGCTCTAAAATGATTTCACATAAAACCCTTTTTAATTCTGTAAGGCCCTTTTACATTTCAATCGTATAGAATTTCTGTGCTGGAGATCAGGATCCCTGTGGTTAACAGAAATGGATGAATTTTGCTGAAAATCAGATACAGGAATTTCACTAAATAAAATAGACTAGAAGACTTAAGCATTCCTTCATACTGACACAAATATATCATCCCTGTCTAGTATATTGTTGAGCGTGTCATCGTGAGAGAATACTTACACAAATATATCATCCCTGTCTAGTATATTGTTGAGCGTGTCATCGTGAGAGAATACTTACACAAATATATCATCCCTGTCTAGTATATTGTTGAGCGTGTCATCGTGAGAGAATACTTACACAAATATATCATCCCTGTCTAGTATATTGTTGAGCGTGTCATCGTGAGAGAATACTTACACAAATATATCATCCCTGTCTAGTATATTGTTGAGCCTGTCATCGTGAGAGAATACTTACACAAATATATCATCCCTGTCTAGTATATTGTTGAGCGTGTCATCGTGAGAGAATACTTACACAAATATATCATCCCTGTCTAGTATATTGTTGAGCGTGTCATCGTGAGAGAATACTTACACAAATATATCATCCCTGTCTAGTATATTGTTGAGCCTGTCATCGTGAGAGAATACTTACACAAATATATCATCCCTGTCTAGTATATTGTTGAGCGTGTCATCGTGAGAGAATACTTACACAAATATATCATCCCTGTCTAGTATATTGTTGAGCCTGTCATCGTGAGAGAATACTTACACAAATATATCATCCCTGTCTAGTATATTGTTGAGCGTGTCATCGTGAGAGAATACTTACACAAATATATCATCCCTGTCTAGTATATTGTTGAGCCTGTCATCGTGAGAGAATACTTACACAAATATATCATCCCTGTCTAGTATATTGTTGAGCCTGTCATCGTGGGAGAATACTAACACAAATATATCATCCCTGTCTAGTATATTGTTGAGCCTGTCATCGTGGGAGAATACTTACACAAATATATCATCCCTGTCTAGTATATTGTTGAGTGTGTCATCATGAGGGAATACTTACACAAATATATCATCCCTGTCTAGTATATTGTTGAGCGTGTCATCATGAGAGAAAACTTTATGGAACCTATGACTATACACATCTGTTACTGCCATCTGGAACACAAATAACAATTTGTCAAGTTTAATTATACCTCCAAGCCATCACGAAACAGAGAATATTCTATTTACGTCATTTCCCATAGGCACACACGTTAGTGAGTAACAAAACACGTCACCATCAGTGCATTCAATAGTGCTGCACCAGGTCATTTGACACCGATGTCACAACCAGTTCCATTGTTTTATAATGACACCGATGTCACAATCAGTTCTATTGTTGTATAATGACTCCGATGTCACAATCAGTTCTATTGTTTTATAATGACACCGATGTCACAATCAGTTCTATCGTTTTATAATGACACCGATGTCACAATCAGTTCTATTGTTTTGTAAGTAAATGCTATTCTGGTTCGACAGTTTACTGTGGGGATAAAAACAACAAAACTTTTAATTGTTTTCTTGTTACTTCTTCCTCCAGACAATCAGTGTGGTACCCCCAAAGTTCTTGGTGTCGCAAAATTCTGTATATACAAACAAACCAAAATGGAATGAAAGGTCACCAGATCACGGCCCCTGATGTAGTGTTGTATGATAACAAGGTCACCTGATCACGGCCCCTGATGTAGTGTTGTATGGTAACAAGGTCACCAGATCATGGCCCCTGATGTAGTGTTGTATGATAACAAGGTCCCCAGATCACGGCCCCTGATGTAGTGTTGTATGGTAACAAGGTCACCAGATCATGGCCCCTGATGTAGTGTTGTATGATAACAAGGTCCCCAGATCACGGCCCCTGATGTAGTGTTGTATGATAACAAGGTCACCAGATCACGGCCCCTGATGTAGTGTTGTATGATAACACAACAAATTGTATCGTAGAGGAACAGAGGGAAGGGTCTGCTTTAGACAGGGCATTCTTCACACTAGAAAATATCACCATAAAACCATAAATACTTAATCAAAGTAATTTACTTGCTATGGAAATACAATATGTGATATGTAAGTCCAGATTCTATCAATATTTTTCGTATTTTCCATTTTATGCTTGTCTGAGAAATATAAAATTCAAAAATTGATTCATAATCATCTATCTATCTAAGACTGGAGCTGGTCTACAAAGAATACTCACTTTGTCTGGATCAGCCTGCACATGATTTGATAGTGCATTGCACAAATCCAGTACAGTTCCCATTTTTGGCACGGTTAGTTTGAACTGAAAGGAAATATATCATTGTTAGAGCAACTGTGAAAATAAACAAGTTAATATTATCATATAAAAGGTTTCATTAATGATTTCCTGTTGAATTTTCAGAATACAATATACATTTCACAAGTATGGCAGAATACTGATATTTGAAACACGAGTGAAATATGTATTCTACCATACAATTGAAATATAAATGGTATCAACTGGTAAAACATGATAACCAGGCTGCTCACCGTTTTTAATGGACTACCCAACACAGCTCTACTGTTATCAATTGGCTACCCAACTCAGCTCTACTGTTTTTAATGGGCTACCCAACACAACTCTACTGTTTTTAATGGGCTACCCAACACAGCGCTCCTGTTTTTTAATGGACTACCCAACACAGCTCTACTGTTTTTAATGGGCTACCCAACACAGCGCTCCTGTTTTTTAATGGACTACCCAACACAGCTCTACTGTTTTTTAATGGGCTACCCAACACAGCTCTACTGTTATCAATGGGCTACCCAACACAGCTCTACTGTTTTTAATGGACTACCCAACACAGCTCTACTGTTATCAATGGGCTACCCAACACAGCTCTACTGTTTTTTAATGGGCTACCCAACACAGCTCTACTGTTTTTAATGGGCTACCCAACACAGCTCTACTGTTTTTTAATGGGCTACCCAACACAGCTCTACTGTTTTTAATGGGCTACCCAACACAGCTCTACTGTTTTTTAATGGGCTACCCAACACAGCTCTACTGTTTTTAATGGGCTACCCAACACAGCTCTACTGTTTTTTAATGGGCTACCCAACACAGCTCTACTGTTTTTAATGGGCTACCCAACACAGCTCTACTGTTTTTTAATGGGCTACCCAACACAGCTCTACTGTTTTTAATGGGCTACCCAACACAGCTCTACTGTTATTAATGGGCTACCCAACACAGCTCTACTGTTTTTTAATGGGCTACCCAACACAGCTCTACTTTTTTTTAATGGGCTACCCAACACAGTTCTACTGTTTTTAATGGACTACCCAACACAGCTCTACTGTTTTTTAATGGGCTACCCAACACAGCTCTGCTGTTTTTAATGGGCTACCCAACACAGCTCTACTGTTTTTTAATGGGCTACCCAACACAGCTCTACTTTTTTTTAATGGGCTACCCAACACAGTTCTACTGTTTTTAATGGACTACCCAACACAGCTCTACTGTTTTTTAATGGGCTACCCAACACAGCTCTACTGTTTTTAATGGGCTACCCAACACAGCTCTACTGTTTTTAATGGGCTACCCAACACAGCTCTATTGTTTTTAATGGACTACCCAACACAGCTCTACTGTTATCAATTGGCTACCCAACACAGCTCTACTGTTTTTAATGGGCTACCCAACACAGCTCTACTGTGAAACGTATCATTTTCATCATATCTCACTTATACATAATTGTAACAAAATTAAATAGCCATTTGTGAGTAAGGCATTGGTCCATACAATCCGGTGACAGTTTAACAGATGGTCAATAATTTACCATATTCCCTAATATTAAAAAGAAATTGAAATGAGCTTGTATTGTTGGGTTAAATGGCCATGGTCACCCGCTATCAAATTATTATTCTGGCTCTAATGACCATAGTTATCGATTGGCTCTTAAATGCAAAGAAACAACTGTTGGGTTAATTCTTCTCCATGCGTATCTTCTACTTTCTGGATATTGTTGGCGCTAAATATCTAACACACACATCAGAGACACTGCTAACACGTCACAGTTACATACCTGTACAGGTTTCTTCTGGGGGTTAAGAGGGACCCAGAACACTTCCAGCTGTCGCTCCTTTTTGATTGGGAGTGGTAAAGAGAGGTAACAGAAGGGGTCAAAAGTTACAGAAATTTTAGCACACTCAGGACAATGTACAGTGGACTTTAGAAGTCCGTGAAAAGTATCTACTATCACAGAATCGTTCCTCTTCCTGTAGTTTTCCCACGATTCCTTCGCTACATCCTGTAAAATAAATGCAAAATATCACTTAAATGCTTTCAAGTAAAAAGGAAACTATACTAAAATAATAGTACAACACTTGAAATTTCTCGAAGTGATACAAATGCTTGTAAAGAGCCCCATCTAATCTCAAGGAAATTACTGTAGGCAGTTTAACATTCGCGGGTGCGGAAGCAGTTGACTTTTGGGCGTATTACCATGTGATCTCCTTTAGAACATTAATGTGTGTGTTGATTATTTGTAACTTTTTAAACCTTAAATCACCAGTGATACTTCGATCTGTACTTGTGTCATTAGATAAGAATGATTCCTCTAGTACTCTACCGTATCTGGCCGCTCGTCATTGTCTTTCATCTCTATATAGGGTTTTTGACGGATCCTGTTCAGGTCTTCGTGAAGGCCATCCAGTAGAAATGCCATCAGCTCTTGTGAGTCCTGTTGTTGGAAACCAGAGAACTGCGGCGCAAATCTGCCCACTGCGTACTGTTAACCATAAAACACTCTTATAATCCTTAGACCAGACTCAGCATTTAAGATTTCTACCAATTTTATGAGTACATGTTTTTAGATGTTCCACATACTCTTATGAATGTACTTGTCTTTGTAAACACAAGCAATGGTTATTTGCTCCATACTAGCCAGATATTGCTCCATGTACAATGGTTATTTGCTCCATACTAGCCAGATATTGCTCCATGTACAATGGTTATTTGCTCCATACTAGCCAGATATTGCTCCATGTACAATGGTTATTTGCTCCATACTAGCCAGATATTGCTCCATGTACAATGGTTATTTGCTCCATACTAGCCAGATATTGCTCCATGTACAATGGTTATTTGCTCCATACTAGCCAGATATTGCTCCATGTACAATGGTTATTTGCTCCATACTAGCCAGATATTGCTCCATGTACAATGGTTATTTGCTCCATACTAGCCAGATATTGCTCCATGTACAATGGTTATTTGCTCCATACTAGCCAGATATTGCTCCATGTACAATGGTTATTTGCTCCATACTAGCCAGATATTGATCCATATACAGGATATTTCACACACATATTCCAGGTACAGGTTGTTTTGTAAATACAACGTATGTTGATTTGTAACTTATACAGAAAAACAGCATCCGGGCTAGACAATAAGGGCAACCCCATAGTCTCGAACTGGACTGTAGTAGTTCTAAAAACTACTAGCCCGATAATTCAACTTATCATGTTGAATTATATTGGGTTGGTGGAAATTGTGTATGGACTAGTAAAATCGGAAACTATAAGCCCGACTGACTAGTGTTTCCAATAATTTCTAGCCCTGAGCACCGTTTTAGGCATTGTTCAGTAGGGTCTTACCTTGAAGTTCCGTGGAGCTGTGTAGCTGTACTTGCCAGACCAGAGTGTTTTGACAAGCTCTGCAAATGAACGAGCAATTTCACCTCTCATGCCCAGAGGATTGTCCTCATTCACTTCATCCACCCATTCATCATTGAGAAAGTACTGGGTCAGCATAGGCACATTACTCATACACTGAAATACAATGCATACAATAGTACATTACTCATACACTGAAATACAATGTATACAATAGCACATTACTCATACACCGAAATACAATGTATACAAAAGCACATTACTCATACACTGAAATACAATGTATACAATAGTAAATTACTCATACACTGAAGTACAATGTATACAATAGTCCATTACTCATATACTGACATACAATGTATACAATAGTAAATTACTCATACACTGAAATAAAATGTATACAATAGTACATCAGTACTACAATGAAATACAATGTATACAATAGCACATTAATCATACACTGAAATACAATGTATATAATAGTACATTACTCATACACTGAAATACAATGTATACAATAGTACATCACTCATATACTGAAATACAATGTATACAATAGTACATCAGTACTACAATGAAATACAATGTTTATACATGTACAATGAACTACAATATATGTACTGGTATAATTAGGCACTGGCAAATTTCTCAAACAACTAAATACAACATACATACTGATACATTAGTCACACACTGAAATATACATTGATACATTACTCATACAACTAAATACAACATACACACTGATACATTTGTCACACACTGAAATATACATTGATACATTACTCATACAAATAAATACAACATACACACTGATACATTAGTCACACACTGAAATATACATTGATACATTACTCATACAACTAAATACAACATACAAACTGATACATTTGTCACACACTGAAATATACATTGATACATTACTCATACAACTAAATACAACATACATACTGATACATTAATCACACACTGAAATATACATTGATACATTACTCATACAAATAAATACAACATACACACTGATACATTAGTCACACACTGAAATATACATTGATACATTACTCATACAAATAAATACAACATACACACTGATACATTAGTCACACACTGAAATATACATTGATACATTACTCATACAAATAAATACAACATACACACTGATACATTAGTCACACACTGAAATATACATTGATAAATTACTCATAATTTGAAAGACACATGGACATACTGATACTTAAAATATTCTCAAAAGGGCCTCAAATATTGTAATTGTCAATCTGTTAATAACCATATCCTGCCCAAGGGTGTAGAGAAAATAGTATAAAATGTTTTAATTTTTCGATAATCTGTTCTGTATTTCACACTCCCTCAAAAAAGGTCTATTAAACGTCCATGTAGGTCTAAGTACAGGAAGCAGTCTATGTTACCTTGGCTGGCTAACACACACATCCCCTTTACCAAAATAAGTACAGGAAGCAGTCTATGCTACCTTGGCTGGCTAACACACACATCCCCTTTACCAACATAAGTACAGGAAGCAGTCTATGTTACCTTAGCTCGCTAACACACACATCCCCTTTACCTCTATGTTACCTTAGCTCGCTAACACACACATCCCCTTTACCAACATAAGTACAGGAAGCAGTCTATGTTACCTAAGCTGGCTAACACACACATCCCCTTTACCAACATAAGAACAGGAAGCAATCTATGTTACCTTGGCTGGCTAACACACACATCCCCTTTACCAACATAAGGACTCATTGCAAGTGGGTTGTTACAGCTTCATATACACAATCAATGAAATGTTTGTGACATTTCAGAGATTGGTATATGTACGTATGATCTGTGGTTGCCGATTTCTTTACCTGGGACTCTTACTGCTTCATTTCTGATTGGCTGAAATGCCACACATAAACTCGTCACTGGTTGTGCTATATGAAGCTGTGTATCATCTTTCCTTACAAACCTGAATTTTTAAGAATAAGTTTATACAACTTACCTGTAGGGCAGAGTTCATGAAGCAAGTGTTGCCTAAATTGGCTAGCCCACACAGCCCTGGGGTGGCATGGCCCCGCCCTGGTTCGTAGCTACTGGAGCTGTTGTAATAACTGTTGTATGAGGTCCCTCCACTCCCACCGTAGCCAGAACTCGACTCATGACTGGAACTCCCTACACTATTGGATCTATTAAAAATAAGACAGGTATTGAGCACATAGAAAATTCAAATTTCAATCCATAAATCATATCTTTAATGGATTATGTGAAATAACCTATATATATCATGCACCATTCCTAGTGAAAGATAACAATTTTGACTCCTTTTCACATACAATCAGAACGAAAATTTTAAGGTATGCAACCCTAATTCTTCTATTCAGATAACAAAATTGTTATTTTATTTAAAGTAAACTTTGGGTAATACCTGAATTTTTTTCTGTGTTAATGAAATCATCTAGACAAAACTATAGTAACATAGGTTTGAATACAAAAATCTGAAATTCAATGTGTGACATTTAAATCGGCTGGTGATCAGTGTAACGGCAAATAAAACAACAGAAATTTTAAAGAGATCTGTGTTGTAAGTGTGTATACCATTAGAGGTACTACTATGACAGATCTGTGTTGTAAGTGTGTATACCATTAGAGGTACTACTATGAGAGATCTGTGTTGTAAGTGTGTAGACCATTAGAGGTACTACTATGACAGATCTGTGTTGTAAGTGTGTATACCATTAGAGGTACTACTATGACAGATCTGTGTTGTAAGTGTGTATACCATTAGAGGTACTACTATGACAGATCTGTGTTGTAAGTGTGTATACCATTAGAGGTACTACTATGACAGATCTGTGTTGTAAGTGTGTATACCATTAGAGGTACTACTATGACAGATCTGTGTTGTAAGTGTGTATACCATTAGAGGTACTACTATGACAGATCTGTGTTGTAAGTGTGTATACCATTAGAGGTACTACTATGACAGATCTGTGTTGTAAGTGTGTATACCATTAGAGGTACTACTATGACAGATCTGTGTTGTAAGTGTGTATACCATTAGAGGTACTACTATGACAGATCTGTGTTGTAAGTGTGTATACCATTAGAGGTACTACTATGACAGATCTGTGTTGTAAGTGTGTATACCATTAGAGGTACTACTATGACAGATCTGTGTTGTAAGTGTGTATACCATTAGAGGTACTACTATGACAGATCTGTGTTGTAAGTGTGTATACCATTAGAGGTACTACTATGACAGATCTGTGTTGTAAGTGTGTATACCATTAGAGGTACTACTATGACAGATCTGTGTTGTAAGTGTGTATACCATTAGAGGTACTACTATGACAGATCTGTGTTGTAAGTGTGTATACCATTAGAGGTACTACTATGACAGATCTGTGTTGTAAGTGTGTATACCATTAGAGGTACTACTATGACAGATCTGTGTTGTAAGTGTGTATACCATTAGAGGTACTACTATGACAGATCTGTGTTGTAAGTGTGTATACCATTAGAGGTACTACTATGACAGATCTGTGTTGTAAGTGTGTATACCATTAGAGGTACTACTATGACAGATCTGTGTTGTAAGTGTGTATACCATTAGAGGTACTACTATGACAGATCTGTGTTGTAAGTGTGTATACCATTAGAGGTACTACTATGACAGATCTGTGTTGTAAGTGTGTATACCATTAGAGGTACTACTATGACAGATCTGTGTTGTAAGTGTGTATACCATTAGAGGTACTACTATGACAGATCTGTGTTGTAAGTGTGTATACCATTAGAGGTACTACTATGACAGATCTGTGTTGTAAGTGTGTATACCATTAGAGGTACTACTATGACAGATCTGTGTTGTAAGTGTGTATACCATTAGAGGTACTACTATGACAGATCTGTGTTGTAAGTGTGTAGACCATTAGAGGTACTACTATGACAGATCTGTGTTGTAAGTGTGTAGACCATTAGAGGTACTACTATGACAGATCTGTGTTGTAAGTGTGTAGACCATTAGAGGTACTACTTACTATGACAGATTTGGATTCTTACCTCGAGTTTGTACTAGTAGAGGTTGACGTGTAAGTACTGGTACTGAAAATTAAAATATGAAATATTAATGCAAACTCAAACAAATCAAACAACGTTCCTAAAAACATATTTCTTTTTGGACAGGCAGGCTTAACCACTGACACGGTATATGTATGTAGTAAGTGGTGAACAGATAATAATTACGATGATTTGCCTGTTTACCTTTTAGTGAACAGATAATGGTTCAATTGAATTGTCTGTTTACCTTTTAGCCTGTCTTGGCCAAGTCCCATCTTCATTCTTCTCCTCTATCACAATCGTCTGACAACAAAAAAGGAATCAGTTAGAATGTATCGTCAGCAATTAATCACTTTTATATTTTTCCTCATGCTGATTGTAAAGGTCTGGAATGTAGAATTTGAAGTGATGTCTGTAATAGTGTTAAGCTACTTTAGATATGTAGCAGTGAGTTCTAGTACATAAATCCTGTCTCCAATGGTCTTAAGGACTTAGAAATTACTCATTTTCACTGAGCAAATCTTGGTTTTATAACAGGGTCCTGGTGTCGAAGATATTTGCTATCAGACTGTGAGTGACGGAAACGATGGCTCTGATGCTTACCTGTCCTGTGTAGAGTCAAGTATTCTGTAACGATGGCTCTGATCCTTACCTGTCCTGTGTAGAGTCAAGTATTCTGTAACAATGACTCTGATCCTTACCTGTCCTGTGTAGAGTCCAGCATCCTATAACAATGGCTCTGATCCTTACCTGTCCTGTGTAGAGTCCAGCATCCTATAACAATGACTCTGATCCTTACCTGTCCTGTGTAGAGTCAAGTATCCTGTAACAATGACTCTGATCCTTACCTGTCCTGTGTACAGTCCAGCATCCTATAACAATGGCTCTGATCCTTACCTGTCCTGTGTAGAGTCCAGCTACCTGTAACAATGGCTCTGATGCTTACCTGTCCTGTGTACAGTCCAGTATCCTGTGACAATGACTCTGATCCTTACCTGTCCTGTGTAGAGTCAAGTATCCTGTAACTATGGCTCTGATCCTTACCTGTCCTGTGTACAGTCCAGTATCCTATAACTATGGCTCTGATCCTTACCTGTCCTGTGTAGAGTCAAGTATCCTGTAACTATGGCTCTGATCCTTACCTGTCCTGTGTAGAGTCAAGTATCCTATAACTATGGCTCTGATCCTTACCTGTCCTGTGTAGAGTCAAGTATCCTGTAACTATGGCTCTGATCCTTACCTGTCCTGTGTAGAGTCAAGTATCCTGTAACTATGGCTCTGATCCTTACCTGTCCTGTGTAGAGTCAAGTATCCTGTAACTATGGCTCTGATCCTTACCTGTCCTGTGTAGAGTCAAGTATCCTGTAACTATGGCTCTGATCCTTACCTGTCCTGTGTAGAGTCAAGTATCCTGTAACTATGGCTCTGATCCTTACCTGTCCTGTGTAGAGTCAAGTATCCTATAACGATGACTCGGATCCTTACCTGTCCTGTGTAGAGTCCAGTATCCTGTAACGATGGCTCTGATCCTACCTGTCCTGTGTAGAGTCAAGTATTCTGTAACGATGGCTCTGATCCTTACCTGTCCTGTGTAGAGTCAAGTATTCTGTATTGATGACTCGGATCCTTACCTGTCCTGTGTACAGTCCAGTATCCTGTAACAATGACTCTGAGCCTTAGCTGTCCTGTGTAGAGTCAAGTATCCTATAACGATGACTCGGATCCTTACCTGTCCTGTGTACAGTCCAGTATCCTGTAACAATGACTCTGAGCCTTACCTGTCCTGTGTAGAGTCAAGTATCCTATAACGATGACTCGGATCCTTACCTGTCCTGTGTACAGTCCAGTATCCTGTAACAATGACTCTGAGCCTTACCTGTCCTGTGTAGAGTCAAGTATCCTATAACGATGACTCGGATCCTTACCTGTCCTGTGTACAGTCCAGTATCCTGTAACAATGACTCTGAGCCTTACCTGTCCTGTGTAGAGTCAAGTATCCTATAACGATGACTCGGATCCTTACCTGTCCTGTGTACAGTCCAGTATCCTGTAACAATGACTCTGATCCTTACCTGTCCTGTGTAGAGTCAAGTATCCTATAACGATGACTCGGATCCTTACCTGTCCTGAGTACAGTCCAGTATCCTGTAACAATGGCTCTGATGCTTACCTGTCCTGTGTAGAGTCAAGTATCCTATAACGATGACTCGGATCCTTACCTGTCCTGTGTAGAGTCCAGTATTCTGTAACGATGGCTCTGATCCTTACCTGTCCTGTGTAGAGTCCAGCATCCTATAACAATGACTCTGATCCTTAGCTGTCCTGTGTAGAGTCAAGTATCCTGTAACGATGGCTCTGATCCTTACCTGTCCTGTGTTGAGTCCAGCATCCTGTAACAATGACTCTGATCCTTACCTGTCCTGTGTAGAGTCCATCATCCTGTAACAATGGCTCTGATCCTTACCTGTCCTGTGTAGAGTCCAGCATCCTGTAACAATGACTCTGATCCTTACCTGTCCTGTGTAGAGTCCATCATCCTGTAACAATGGCTCTGATCCTTACCTGTCCTGTGTAGAGTCCATCATCCTATAACAATGGCTCTGATCCTTACCTGTCCTGTGTAGAGTCAAGTATTCTGTAACGATGACTCGGATCCTTACCTGTCCTGTGTAGAGTCCATCATCCTGTAACAATGACTCTGATCCTTACCTGTCCTGTGTAGAGTCCATCATCCTGTAACAATGGCTCTGATCCTTACCTGTCCTGTGTAGAGTCCATCATCCTATAACAATGGCTCTGATCCTTACCTGTCCTGTGTAGAGTCAAGTATTCTGTAACGATGACTCGGATCCTTACCTGTCCTGTGTAGAGTCCATCATCCTGTAACAATGACTCGGATCCTTACCTGTCCTGTGTAGAGTCCATCATCCTGTAACAATGGCTCTGATCCTTACCTGTCCTGTGTAGAGTCCATCATCCTGTAACAATGGCTCTGATCCTTACCTGTCCTGTGTAGAGTCCAGCATCCTGGAACGATGGCTCTGATGCCTACCTGTCCTGTGTTGAGTCCAGATAGCTCTTATCCTTACCTGTCCTGTGTAGAGTCAAGTATCCTGTAATGATGGCTCTGATCCTTACCTGTCCTGTATACAGTCCAGATATCTTTGATCCTTACCTGTCCTGTGTAGAGTCCAGCTTCCTGTAGTGTGTGCTCCGGTTTGTTTAGATGCTCATATGTACTGGCCATGTACTTATTCCATAACCTCACTTCCTTCTCCTCCGGGATTTCAAACGTATTTCTCATTTCCTTCTCAATATTTTCTGTGGATATATATTTAATTGCACAAAATACAAACTGTGACTCTTAAGATATACAGGTGTTAATTTGTAAATCAAATACAATTTTTTGCAAAATAGACCTTATTAATTACCATATTCATTGTAGTTAACACCCAGGGCACTTAAAAACTTAGCTTATATATGGGGGGGACTTATTAGGACAACAAAATGTGAGTTATGATAGAACAAATTGTTCAACTTAACCGTTGCTACAGTAAACAGAAGGATATTATTAACATTCCAGGTCTGGGCTGGGGAGAGAGTTTATACAATTTCAATTCCTCCTGATAAAGGGGAGAGGTGCTTATATTGGGGACCGGCGCTAATTACAGCGAGTATGGTAACACTGAATCATATTTGTAATCAATGGAAGACCAGTGAAGCATTGTCTTAAAACATTCATCTTTGTAAAACTAAAAGATATATTCAATATTAGTACATTCTTTAAAACTATCGTTTATGCATCAATATATACAAACGACAAATGCATGACTTCTAGTCAGTTTTGTTAAGTCCAATCCCAGAAATCAGTTGTTTAATATTCAATTAAAATGAGTTTTCATAAAAACCGAGCGATATACAATTTCTACTGTTGCCCCTGTTAAGGTCATTACGAGACTCCTTCAAACTGGACAAGTTAGGGCTTTATCACAAAGCTATGTACCAGGCTCATGTTTCACAAGTGTAACTTAACTTAAAGAAATTTCTGAACTTAAGATTTTTCAACTGGAATGCATTACATAAGTTCAGAAATTTCCTTAAATCTTTACCCTTTCACCCCTTTGTAAGTTTAGTAAACTCATGGTCCATTATGGTCTACAGTGATGAAAGGGTTAAGGAACATTTGCAAAACTGGAACAAAGAATAATCATTTCAGAACACACATTAACTTATCCAATCAACATCCACGATCCTTTTGTCTAGTGCAGTTAATATTTTCAATCCAAAATGTTGGTGGTACATACCTATTGTAGCGACTCTACTAAATTGTTTGGTTATCACAGTTTCCAGGTCAGAGTTCCGACACAGTTTTACATCCAGCAGGTACACCTCCACCTTGAAGTGTTTTACAAATGTTCCCTGCTCAATAACACCACGACATATGGATTCCTATAAGAGACAAGAACATTTTGAATTCAAATACTCAAACGCTTAAGTCAACCAAATTGACATGTACACACATCAATAATGGAAGAAATTATATTTCTGTAAAATAACACAATTTTATGCTTCATTTTTCATTTGTAAGAGTAGTTTTTTCTGCAACACCATTTTCAATAATTCATGCTAGTCATCCAGAAAAGTTGCAAAAAGAAACAGAAAAGGCCAATAATTTATCTTATTTCACAGTTCAGCAAAGGGCATTAACTTTGTCCTGCTAACACGTTCATTGCTTAAAACGTTGAAAATGCAATTTCAGTTACTATTTAATCTATATATAGCCTAATTCAGCATTTCATAATTTCATTACAAATATTTTAATCAGGAAATGGTTTGTTTCCTTATGAAAAGACTTTAAAACTGTTTTCAGAAAAGTCCTTTTGCCCAGATTAAAAGAATTGATAGTATGTATATGAGTTTTTTAGAGGGTGTACATATGCTTATAATTACCTGTTCCTTTGCTAAACCATACCAGGCAAGCATTTTGTCCCAAGCCTCCTCTGGTAGAAGCATGTAGTCCAGCTCCTCTATCAGATGTGGTTTCAGACCCCCTTCCTCCTCTAAAAACACGAGAATTCATTTGTTAATCACTAAATGTAGTAATGACACACAGAAATAAGGAAGAATAGAAAATACATACACTGTATATTTTATGGGCGGATTGGTCGAGTGGTTAACACTCCGGCCTTCCAAGCAGGCGGCCGAGGTTCGATCCCCAAGTCGCCGTACGCATGGAATATTAGAGAAAATGTTTTTCTCCTGCCCACACAACTCCAACAACCCAGGTGGAGTATAAAATGGTCTGGGGTGGGTGTTGCGGTATCTGTGCTGTAGCATTCAAGTGAGGTGGCACTATAAATGATACCGTTGGAAGCACGGTCCCACTACAAACAGAACACAATACTACTCCAGAACACACACAGGCATACACACATAGGGAGATATTAGCCAGGTGGCATAGGACTAGTAGTTAGCGCCTGATAAGGCAGCTCCTGCGAATTCCTCAATATTGTATTGATTAATATATATGCTAATTGTATTGACTGTATTAAAATTGTATATGTACTGTAAAGCGCTTTAGAGTGGCTTATGTTAGCTAGCTAGATAGGGCGCTATATCAAATGTTGTATATTTATTTATTTATATCCCTGCCAGCAGATGTACAATATTTAAATACTAGAAAATGTCTGTAAGACAAAAATGTCCCTAGTCTACTTCAAAGCAACGTAACCCTGAAATATTGACTTATTTGAAGTAATCACATACCTAACCTCTGTCTACAGTTTGATCAAAATATAATTAAGCTGCTAGATTGACGTTGAGTTGGTTTTCAACTTTTTATGAATGGTAACGATGACCTTGACCTTTGAACTGTCAAATGCAAACTTATCTGAGGTAGTCTTGTACTGTACCTCTGTATAAAATTAGCAAAATCTGTTAAGGAATGAGGTTTCTAGAGCGATGATGCTGAATCAGGACTAGACTGGAGGGAACAAACATGGGTAGCCATAACACTATACCCCCCCCCCCCCCCCCCAAATTCCTCACTTGCATAAAATGGTGAGGGCATTCCTTTGCCAGGGGAAATATATGACATTAAAATATTAAATAATCCCTGACAAGCAGATGTACGATACTTATAGCAACATGTACCCTCTGAATTTAAATATCCAACACAGACATTCCTACTTAAGTAGTTACAATTTGAATCCTCTGTCGTACCGACATTTCTTTCAAACAAACACATCTCAGGTCATTTTTTTGTGTTTATGAGGTTCTTTTTTATAAATGAGTATGATTTCAATACAAAATCTTCTTTTTTCACTCTGAAAAAGGACACAAACATGTTTGTCCTATAATAACGATACCCACACATGTACAACTAGACATTAATAGGGTAATCCACTAAAGAACCTAAGTAAGCCATCTAATCCCCACCCAGGGATCAGGTTATAAACCCACTAGGTGCTGTGCCCGGGGATTTTATTGTAATTAGGTTAAAGGATTTCCTAGTCATCTTTTTACTTTATTTACTTTATTCACAGATGATTTTATTTATATATTAACTTATGTTACTGAAAACTTTTAAATCATTTATAAAAAGTTGTGAATTAGATACAAGATACTCAGTGAAAGCTTATAGGATATGTTATATCATCAAACCCAGAGATGGTGAGTGAACCAGACACAGAAACAACATATTTACTCCAGAGTTTCCTATTAACACATATGTAGCAGAACTGGACTGGGTCGATTGTTGGCGACCAGGTAGCTCAATTGGTAGAGCGTTCGTCTAGAGTTCAGAGGGTCCTGGGTTCGAACCCCAATGTGGTTGTTGCATTTCTCTTTCTCCTGTTACAAAATTGACAAGCTTGCCAACCCTTGTTTCAAGCACTGAGTACGCTTAGCAAGGGGATACCTGAACATGGGTCATAAATAGTTGAGTCTTAGGACCGATGACTTAGAAAAAGGAGGGAGGAATGTAGCGGAACTGGACTGTGTCAATCGTCGGCGACCAGGTATACGTAGCTCATTTGGAAGAGCGTCCTTCTAGAGTTCAGAAGGTTCCAGGTTCGCACCCCGGTCTGGCCGTGCATTTTTCTCTCTCCCGTTATTCTGCATATCAACCGGAGTACTTCTAAAATCAGCTTGTCTTGTAAATTTTCTATGATCAGGACAGGCATTGGGGCATCCTTGATAGTTGGGGGGAGGGGTTACACTCACTTTTGCTCTCTGCACCCCTGGAATATGTCCTAACAAAATCAAAGGCTCAGCGTATGCTACCTTGTGGATGATACAAGAAGTCTAGTTTTATCCTTCGAAGTACAACAAAAGAATTTCGCGGCCCTGTATCGGTAAAATTGTCTGGCTTTGAAGCCATGCGTCACTCCTCTGGAATCTTCAAAGGACAGGTATCAACCTAGTGATTGGTCTTCTTTATTTTTACCCAAAACCAATCAAATATCTTTCTTAATGCCTTCAATTTTGCTTTGACATATTCCAGGGGTGCAGAGAGAGTAAGTGAGCTAACCCCTGGATATCGAGGATGGCAGTGGGGTGGCAAGGTAAAGGCATTGTGGTTAGCCAGTGTCCCGCAAGTCTGTCAGTTCCATTTCAGTTTCATTGTCTGACCAATCAAATGATATCCAATATAAATAATGTGTCATACATGCAATACTTAAGCCTACCTTTGACAAGTGGACAGTTGTCCATTGGTCCTGGGTGCGAATTCTGTTCTCCGACACTGAACGAGTCCCAGCTATCATACCCGACATACTTCTTCCACTGTTTGTACCACTTAGTGTCCAACAGGTACCTGATACATACAAAAACAATTATGGAAGCTTGATTTTATACCTATACATAAGTTAAAGTAAATCTTATTATTAGGGCTGTCACAATATATCGGAAAACAGGTATATCGCAATACACGGCTATATCGTATTGTACCACAATACAGAGATGAAATATTGCTGTATTGAAATATTTTTTTAAAAGCTTATTTTTACGTATCTCAATCTGCTTGGTAATCTAACTTTGCAACTTACTACAAATTCTAACAGATATGCTAATACGCAGAAAACAGGCTTTTAATAGTGGTGGGAACAAATGTTGTAATCAATGGTTGGTTTGACAAAAATCTTAAATCCATGTGATCCATATTATATATGATTAGGTTTGATAACATTCTGACAACTTATAAAATCGAGCACATCTTTCCTATGACAATATATCGGGATACGTATTGCAATATATTCAATCTGTATTGCGATATATCGTGATACACTCTTGGCATATTGTGACACCCCTACTAATTATAGTGATAATGTAGAAACATAAATGTGAACATAAATTCATGCATATTGAATTGCTTACCCTTCTCTATCAAATATTTCATTATTAAGTGTAATAAAATAATTACGTAATTGTTGAAATAGCACAAACTAATATAATGTGTTATAACACCTATAAGTTCCTAGCAATGAAATAAGATTACGAATCCATAATGAATGGCAAACATGAATGGGTTTTTTCTGGGGTTTTTTTTCTTACTTCCTCAAAAAATCTGATAGAATCTATAACTCACTTCTAAGTACGGATGTCGAACCGGTCAGATTTTGGTAATCGGTTACTCGAACAGTATTCTGATAGAGTAACTGGTTAATCGGTCAATTTGGTAATCAAACAATAAACATTGACAATATGGTAGATGTTTAGCAAATGTTCTATCTAAAACATACTTACATCACATACATACAGGTATAATATTAATAATAAGCATGATAATTCTTGCGTATTTCAAGCTTAACACAGGAAAAAGTTTAATACATGTTGCCCCAGTAAATATTTCATGGACAACAAATGTACAGTAAGGTGGGATTCAATTAGTTTATATCTGCACTCGAAATCAGATGCGGTAATATTGTTCTTTAGAACAAAATTTGGTTGACAAACGATGAAATACATGCTTATAATTACTCATTCAAGTGTGTACTCTTCCAATTATATTTACATCTCACATGTTAATTAATATAAGTGAGTTCTATCTCTAAAAGTTGATGTTTCACAACTTTTATTCTGACTTCCTTTTAAGACATGTTCAGGTTTTTTGTGGTGCTGGTGGCATCTCTTTGTTTATCTTTACATTATTACAAAAACGACACTAACATGTCAGCTTGAACACTGTTTTATTACAAAACTATTCTATTTTGGTCGCATCTATAGATAATTTGTAGGTTTAAGCCAGGGAAACATGGGGCTCTCCATAGGGTTAAATAAATGTCCGACTATTCTGTTATTAGTTTGGTAACCGGTTCATGGTCTTTCGACCGAGTAACCGGTTAACCTAACCGTTGACAACCTGACTGCTAAGCATTCCATCGGAGTTCACAAGCAGATCATGAAATCAAGATAGGTAAAGTCACTTGTATGAGAACCTCCATGTACTGGTATGTGATAAAGCTGGTGTGAAAACTACACTACCAATTACATAGCATCATTAATATCCCTGGGGCAAAAACAACAAGTCTGATGTACCTGGGCCAGCAAAATTTGTCTAGAACATTTTTTTTCCCACAAAAGAAAAGTAGATGGTTAATAATGAACAACTCCAAGGTATTGAAGAAACATTACTTCATTATTATCTTTAATATAAATCACTAATAACATATCAAATTTCAGCTTAAATTTCAGTTGTTACACCTACTCCAAATTGTATTTTAATACACAAACTTTTTGTCAGCACGTAAAGCCCGGTCAGTCGGTCTATACCAAACAATTTTTATTTTTATTTTTGGCCTTACAGCTGGCCATGACAATGGTCTAAAACATATGAACCAATGATGTCTATTAGTGATGGGCTGATGATCGATTATAATCGAAAATCAATCGGTTTGTACTTTCTGATTCCAATTATCGATTACAAATTCCATTATCGATATAATCGGTTATTCAATAAAATCGAAATGTTAGATGTCTTCGATGTAAAAAATGTATTGAAAGTTATGCATTCTTATGATTTTTACTATATGATTGATAAAACTGCATAAAAACTGCTTGCATTATAAAAGAACGAAACCTAGAGTAGAGTTAATAACTCTGCGTTTTGATGTTAACTTATGGTAGTGTTCTCACTTTATTTGGATATTCGTCCCATATAATTATGAAGCGATCATGCAATCGATCATCGATCGGTTTACTACTTCCAAACTTTTACACACCTATTATTGATTATTATTTTAAACTGATTGTCCATCACTAATGTCCATCTTTACAGAATGCCTGGTGCTGAACCTTCATCACTACCTGCTGGTTTGTATTGTTTGTATAATTCTGGAACAGTTGCAGTTCATATACATGTAATAAGACTCGACTCATTCACCCCTGAAGACACATTTGAACTATTCTAGTTCAAAGGTTGGAATAGTTCAATATGAAATTTCAGGGGTGAATGAGTTAACCTCCTATTCATGTATCCAGATTCCAGGAAAGCATTCAAATGCATGATATATCAATGGAAATTTAATGAAGAATCCAGAATATTACCATTGCTTGTTTGTAAATGTGGCAGAGACGATATTTGTGATATCTATATGTTTAGGTTTTATTATAATATTACGGTATATACATATGTTCCGATATAGTATTAGCGATTTTTATATTGTGGTATAGTAAATAGTTCCTTATTTTGGCCTCTTGGATTGGTTTGGTTATATGTATTTTCATCATTGGTTAGTTTTGTAAGTTATCCCGTTGTCACCTCTTGGATTAGCCAATGGTCAAGGTTTTATTTGTTTCCTTTGTGTGACCGGTGGTTTTGGCGCAATATTTATCAGAAACTACATGACGTCTTGACGAAGCAGACAATACATGTAAAGGACACTGAAATTACGAGTACACATAAAAAACTTGGATAATTCTGTACGACTTCAAATGGCCCTGTTCCACAAAAAGGGTTAAATCATTTATGTCAATGGAATCAGAACTACGCACAATAAATTGAGAAGAACTCTCTTAGTGTTTGTTGATGTCTTAATCTTCAAAATCCACCACTGCTACATAAATATTTAGTATTTACATGACTTTGAATAATAACAATAGATGAAGTTCTGCTTAAAATTGCACTTTGTACTTTTTCACTTGTTAAATATTTTCTTCCTTTTCCCTTCTATTAGTGTAATGTCATTGAGTGCCAAACAGATATTAAATCCTACACTGTTTTTTGGGGAATTTAAAATCAAATTAATCCAATACCCAACTGGTACATTTGTATTTTACTGTTGTAAAATGGTGAAAGTGATGTTACCACGTGATGTTACAGAATATTTTAATACTATTTCTCCATTCGAATGTTTGGGAGATTGGTATTCATTCGAGAATATTCGAACATTTGTTTCAGCTCTACTATACATTGATACTGGCTAAAAACTGCCCACTGCACGCAAATTCCAGGATTTTCCCTCTATAATACGTAATAAGAAATATTATTATTATCATGTCTGTCTGAGAGCCTCATATTGTTACATTTTCGAAGTAGTTGTCTGGGTGTTCACTTTGTTGTACAGACTTTATTTCTTAAATTCATGTCCTGTATTTCTGTTTAGAGTCTGTGAATATTCAATAGTTTTACATGTAGAACAAAACCTACCCAGTTTAACATAATGAGACAGAGAACTAGTGTAGGAAAAATGATGAAACCAGATATCAAAAACTAGGCCTAAATCTTTTTGACAACATAAAATCTATTTACAATTTCGAGTTTTCTAATAAAAACTAAATTATTACTTAGTACGAGAAATCCCTGAAGCGAAATTGATTCAGAACACTCCTTCAATGGGACGTTTTAAAAAGAATGGCCCTGAGGATGGGCGAAGTAACATTAGCCACGAAAAGTGATGACTACTGTACGATAATGCGATTTCACCACAACATTTGACACAAGAGTCAAGTTCACCGCCGACTTGTTGCCGACCACTACAAAACATAATCTGCTTTATCAACTTCTGGTATTTTGACAAATACATACCAAGTGTCTCCTTTCTTGAGAGTTTTCTTCATCAAACTTGCGATTTCTGACTTTTGTTTAGCACAATCGGGGATTTTTTCGGTGTCTTCCGACATCTCGACTACACCACCTTCGGCCATTTTAGAAAATGTCTCGAAAAGTAGACCGAAATGAAAATGAAACGGTCGATTTGATTGGCTAAGTCGAATGACGTCATTAAAAGTATGACTCATGACCTGAAATATAAAATAAATGCAGACTCCATCAAATTAGCAGCATCACGATTTCAGTGTGACACACATAAAATACTTCCTTGTTTTCATATTATTGTGATTGTTATAAAAGCGATAAGGTGCAGACATGCATTGTGCGTTCTATATTTTCCGGTAAAAATAAATGTTATAAAGTGAAAGTGAAAGTAGAAAACAAAAATGAACATTTTTATATAATATGTTTATGATTTTTGGCTAATTTGTCATTCTGACCACTACTCTGCGTTTCACTGCAGATCATCGACCAAAAAATGTATGGATGTGTGGTAAATGATAACACGTGTGATATTACCTTGCACACCATACCCGGCCTGCTTGGCTGACGACCCGGCCTTGGCCATGGGTGAGGGTACCCAAAATGGAACACTTTTTAAAGAAAAATATTAATATTTCCTATACAGTTTCTGAAAGAATACATGAATTTATGGGTTTCTGTCAAAATTCCGCTTCGAACAAAGCCATCGTGAGCAAGCTTTTTGAATTTCATTGTTGCAGAGACGTATGTAATATACTTACGTCACTGATTTTTGTTAATAAATTCATATATATGAGACGTCTATATAAATACGTCTCTGATTAAATTGTTCTGAGCGCTACACTGTAACTTGATGTTTTATTTTTTGTCACCCTGTCAATCACTGAAAACAGTTATACAAACTCGATGGTATTTAACCATATGACAAGATTAGAAGAGCAAAATGAGTCACGCCTTAACAACCACTGGCACCATGAACCATCTTTAGAAGTTTTTACCTACATATATAGCGTTGCCGGATCGACCAACTTATTTTTACCTGATGATTTATGGTCTGATGAAGAAATCAGAAAACTGTACCTTTGGGACAAACTGTGTAATGCTAAATTATCTTTTGTCAGGAAATCTCTATTTATTATTCGCTTATGTACATTCATGTTCACCCTACAATCGTTTCAAAACGCGGGCTTCATCGTAGACATTCTCCATACATGGTAAAATTTAACATCGAGACCTTTTTCGATTTTGCTTTCTCTGGTGCGTGCTGTAGAGAGCTTCAGTGGAAATCGTTTATTAAGAAAGTCACAACAAACTATTACTCTGATGTATGGTGTAAAATGTGTAAACATCGTCCCGATCTGTTATACTATAGAGCAGTTCATCGATATATTGGACCCGACTCATATGGTCTCTAACGTTGAGGTTTCCTAAAAGCACATGGCAAGTTTGTGAATTCATAAAGCTTTCCTACAGGGTTGAATTGTGAATTCATAAAGCTTTCCTACAGGGCTGAATTGTGAATTAATAAAGCTTTCCTACGGATCTGAATTCCAAAATGTGATGTGTAAACAAAAGGTTGTGAATACCGACGTTAAACATTTCATTATACAATGTCCCACATTATTCAAAAATAGAGACATCTTGCTGGAACAAATAGTTTATTTTATAAGCGTAGAAAAATATGTACAATACGATATGCTAGGGGAAGACGAAATATGCTCATTCATTCTTAGTGGAAGGAACGGTATTACTTTGGACGATGGAGACGGGGACAATCTGATGTTTGTTATACATAATGCAGGTAACAAACTCGCTGAGATGTTCCTAGAAATGAACATGCTTCTCCAGAGCAGTTCTTGAAGATAGTTTGAAGAATATAGTAGGAAAATGTATTGTTATGTACATATGTAGTGTTTATGCTGCAAATTGTTGAACGTGTTAAAAACGACAAGACCATGTTATCTCTTACAAGAGGAAATAAAGAATATCTGTCTGTCTGTCTGTCTGTCTGTGCGCCTTTCTTTGAAAAGAAACAAGAGATCGTAGACATTCTTTCAGTTCGGTATGAGGAATGATAGTGTAAAGGGTCGAAAAGTCTGGATAGATGGATTTTCAAGATGGATCAAAAGATCTTTTGAATTCTTCAAAATCAACATACCGTTTATTCCACTTCTTGAGTATACAGTATCATAATACGACTGCTACCCTGCTTTAATGGTACTGATAATGGTACTGGTACTGGTACTGATAATGGTACTGATACTGGTAATGATAATGGTACTGATAATGGTACTGATAATGGTACTGATACTGGTACTGGTACTGGTACTGATACTGGTACTGATAATGGTACTGATACTGGTACTGGTACTGATACTGGTAATGGTACTGATAATGGTACTGATACTGGTACTGATACTGATAATGGTACTGATAATGGTACTGATAATGGTAATGATACTGATAATGGTACTGATAATGGTACTGATACTGGTACTGGTACTGATAATGGTAATGATAATGGTAATGATACTGATAATGGTACTGATAATGGTACTGATACTGGTACTGATACTGGTACTGGTACTGATAATGGTACTGATACTGGTAATGATACTGATAATGGTACTGATAATGGTACTGATACTGGTACTGGTACTGATACTGGTACTGATAATGGTACTGGTACTGATACTGGTACTGATAATGGTACTGGTACTGATACTGGTACTGATAATGGTACTGGTACTGATACTGGTACTGATAATGGTACTGGTACTGATACTGGTACTGATAATGGTACTGATAATGGTACTGATACTGGTAATGATACTGGTACTGATAATGGTACTGATACTGGTACTGGTACTGATACTGGTACTGATAATGGTACTGGTACTGATAATGGTACTGATAATGGTACTGATACTGATAATGATACTGGTACTGATAATGGTACTGATACTGGTAATGATACTGGTACTGATAATGGTACTGATACTGGTACTGGTACTGATACTGGTACTGATAATGATACTGGTACTGATAATGATACTGGTACTGATACTGGTACTGATAATGGTACTGGTACTGATACTGGTACTGATAATGGTACTGGTACTGATACTGGTACTGATAATGGTACTGGTACTGATACTGGTACTGATAATGGTACTGGTACTGATACTGGTACTGATAATGGTACTGGTACTGATACTGGTACTGATAATGGTACTGGTACTGATACTGGTACTGATAATGGTACTGGTACTGATACTGGTACTGATAATGGTACTGGTACTGATACTGGTACTGATAATGGTACTGGTACTGATACTGGTACTGATAATGGTACTGGTACTGATACTGGTACTGATAATGGTACTGGTACTGATACTGGTACTGATAATGGTACTGGTACTGATACTGGTACTGATAATGGTACTGGTACTGATACTGGTACTGATAATGGTACTGGTACTGATACTGGTACTGATAATGGTACTGGTACTGATACTGGTACTGATAATGGTACTGGTACTGATACTGGTACTGATAATGGTACTGGTACTGATACTGGTACTGATAATGGTACTGGTACTGATACTGGTACTGATAATGGTACTGATAATGGTACTGATACTGGTACTGATACTGGTACTGATAATGGTACTGATACTGGTAATGATACTGGTACTGATAATGGTACTGATACTGGTACTGGTACTGATACTGGTACTGATAATGGTACTGATAATGGTACTGATACTGGTAATGATACTGGTACTGATAATGGTACTGATACTGGTACTGGTACTGATACTGGTACTGATAATGGTACTGGTACTGATAATGGTACTGATAATGGTACTGGTACTGATACTGGTACTGATAATGGTACTGATACTGGTACTGGTACTGATAATGGTACTGATAATGGTACTGATACTGGTAATGATAATGGTACTGATAATGGTACTGATACTGGTACTGGTACTGATACTGGTACTGATAATGGTACTGGCACTGATACTGGTACTGATAATGGTACTGGTACTGATACTGGTACTGATACTGGTACTGATAATGGTACTGATACTGGTACTGATACTGGTACTGATAATGGTACTGATACTGGTACTGATACTGGTAATGATAATGGTACTGATAATGGTACTGGTACTGATAATGGTACTGATAATGGTACTGGTACTGATACTGGTACTGATAATGGTACTGATACTGGTACTGGTACTGATAATGGTACTGATAATGGTACTGATACTGGTAATGATAATGGTACTGATAATGGTACTGATACTGGTACTGGTACTGATACTGGTACTGATAATGGTACTGGCACTGATACTGGTACTGATAATGGTACTGGTACTGATACTGGTACTGATACTGGTACTGATAATGGTACTGATACTGGTACTGATACTGGTACTGATAATGGTACTGATAATGGTACTGGTACTGATAATGGTACTGATAATGGTACTGGTACTGATACTGGTACTGGTACTGATAATGGTACTGATACTGGTACTGATACTGGTACTGGTACTGATAATGGTACTGATAATGGTACTGATACTGGTACTGATAATGGTACTGATAATGGTACTGATACTGGTACTGATAATGGTACTGGTACTGATAATGGTACTGATAATGGTACTGGTACTGATAATGGTACTGGTACTGGTACTGATACTGGTACTGATAATGGTAATGAGAAGTTTTGATAGTGACTTGTTTGAGCAACCAGAGAACTAGTGATAAATAGTCGTTTATAAGGATTCTTGTGAAGTTTTGGAATCCAACACAAACAAGGTAGGTCCTTATCGTGAGGAGGTTCAATCCTTGCATTAAAGCAGAATATTATCTCCGTAGAGTAATACGTCTGGTGGACCTGACGCAAGAACAACAGGACAAAGAAACAATAGACGGATAGTGGCAACATCAGATGAAGGGGCAATGGGCCAGGTAGAAGATCACATGGATGTTGAAACCAGCATTGATGTACACAGTGAAACAGACATCAATTTAAATGTTTGGGTTGCAGATAACATTAAAGGGGACATTAGCCCAATCTCCAACATGGTAATCAACAGTTAGTTGACAACTGTACACTCGATGAAACTGACATTGGTGAGCCATCTGTACACTCGATGAAACTGACATTGGTGAACCAGCTGTACAAACGATGAAACTGACAGTTGTGAACCAGCTATACAAACTGACATTGGTGAACCAGCTGTACACAAACTGACATTGGTGAGCCATCTGTACACTCGATGAAACTGACATTGGTGAACCAGTTATACACTCGATGAAACTGACATTAATGAACTGCGAGCGTGACAACAACAATCAAGGGACGGACCCAGTCTTGCGCAAAACCCATCAAATCCGTAGGATGTTGATTTTAAAGTTCTGACCACTGACGGCTTAAACGTATTCTACACTAACGTAGAAACGCCAATGGTTCCGAAGATGGAAGAACTAACACTGATTGTTGAAGAAACAAAAACAGATATTATTGCATTGACTGAGATTTTCCCTAAGCACGCGCTATTCGACCCATGACAAGAAACTTCAGGCTATAATCTGTTCAATCACAAATATTTGAAACGGAACTAGTAAGCAACTTGTATATATTGACTTCTTACATTGAATTCCACTAGTATTGAGTAGTGTATGTCTGCTCGAAATGCCTCCGGAAGCGGAGTGGATTGCATTAAGAAGCACCCCCAGAAGCGAAACAACAGTGTCTGGAATCGTGGGTTCGATCACCGGTAGAAGCACACTACTCTCTTTCCTGTTACACATGATCAGAATTTGCTGGTAATCAGCCAAAAAAATATTTCAGGTCGCTTGATCACCAACAACCCAGCATTTTCTGATCTGGGAGTGGTAGACCTATGTGAGTCTGATACACTTTGGTTTATAAGATGAAGAGTCAAAAAATCGTTTAAAGTTAAATCAATTTAATGAGTTTATTTTCCGAAACAGGATCTGTATATTTAAAAAAAAATACATACATGTAACATTTACTGGGTTGGTTACATCTTGAGGCGAGAAGGAACAAATGACTGTACAACAGCTTTGGGATGGGCACCAGAGGGGAAAAGATCAAGAGGGAGACCAAAAACAACCTGGCGAAGAAAGGTTGAAAAAGAGCACAACCATATAGGATGGAGTAGCTGGAACACCGCAAAAACAGCAGCGAAAGACAGATTGGTTGGAGAAAAAAACGTGGAGAGACTTAAGTTAAGGCAAGAACAAATACTACTCGAAACGGAAATATGGAAACATAACGATAACATCAGGAGTTCCACAAGAGTCTGTAACATGTGCCATATTGTTTGTCATCTACATTAATGACCTAGCTGATAGTCTAGATTCGGAGGCGTACTTGTTCGCAGATGACACAAAAATAATCAAAGTTATCACCAAAGAAGCTGATCAAACCCTTCTTCAGGAAGATCTCTATAGAATGGAAAGTTGGTACGAAACATGGTTGTTGAAACCACATCCAGGGAAATGTGTTCGAACCACATCCAGGGAAATGTGTTCAAACGACTTTACATACCATCTCGCTGATACAGCTCCACAAAAACCGCAAGCGGAAAAAGACAAAGGTTAGTTTAGTAATTGATAGTAATCTTGAATTCGAAAAACATATTTTTGAAAAAATTAAAAGAGCAAATTCAATGATGGTAATAACAAGGAGATAATTCCGAAACTTGGACAGAGGAACCTTTCTCTTGCTACAAAACAAATCATTAGTGAGAACTCATTTTGATTTCGCGAGCCCTATTTGGTTTCTGTATAAAACAAAAGCATATTGAAAAGAATCGAAGGAGTTCAACCTCCCTTACTCGAATAGACTTGAATGCCTGAATCTATCAACGCTTTTGTATTAGAGACAGCGAGGAGACTGATATGGTTGAACTTCATAAAATCCATCGAATGTTACTGTTTTTAAATAATATGGAAAGATGTGTGAAATCGATCCGGGAACAGAGGAAATTCTTTGAAAATATACCCCCAACCACGAACTTATATAATCTAATTCCGTGCCTCACAAGAGTATAATTATGAAGAGGAAAAATAGTTGTGTCGCCTGCAACGCGAAGCGTCATATATAGGTATTACTTTGTCGTCGTCGTAGTGGTCGGTGGCGTCGTCCGAAACAAGGTTGCCGTGCGATAACTTCCTTGGGTTGATTGAACTCAAACTTCATACAGTGCTTCCTTACTAAAAGTGCTTTCTTTGGGATTGCTTTTCAGGTCCGAAGGTCAAGGTCCAGTTGACTACAAATAGCTTTCCCCCCCGAGCGATAACTAGAGTTCCCTTGGGTTGATTGAACTCAACCTTTATGCAGGGCTTCCTTACTAAAAGTGCTTGCCAGAGATTGCTTTTCAGGTCCGAAGGTCAAAGGTCAAGGTCACCGTTACTATAAAAAGAAAATATGTTTCCGTGCGATAACTTGAGTTCCTCTGGGTTGATTGGACTCAACCTTCATTTAGGGCTTCCTTACTAAAAGTGCTTGCCAGAGATTGCTTTTCATGTTCGAATGTCAAAGGTCTAGGTCACCGTTAATATTAATAGAAAATCTGTTTCCGTGCGATAACTATTATTCGGCTTTAAGTCTCAATTTTCCCCCAAATCATTGACACAAAATATTTTTTGTTTTTACTAATTTAAAATTGGAACAGGAAATTTGACTTAGGCACAACATTCATGCTTGAGTATGAGAACGATTTCATGAATGCAGCCCCAGGAAGAGCGTAGCGGAGTTACCCGAGGTTTACCGAGTGTGCTATGCAAGGGACAGTAACTCTAGACAAGTTCCGGTTAATTTTTCATCTTGCTGGCTCTGATTGTCAGAAAAGTCAAACCATGGGGCAGAAAAATCCTTTGAAAGATTTCATCGCCGGAGGTGCTGGAGGAGTATGCTGCGTTTTTGTAGGCCAACCCCTCGACACTATAAAGGTAACGGGATAAGTATCTGCTGCAGAAAACACCTAGTGTCCCAAGACTGTCGGGTGATGGCCTCTGGTCCGTGACATTTCAATACAACGGTCTCTATCATAAATGCTATAAAAGAGTCAGTCCAAGCCATTGACTTACCTTTCTTTTATCGCAAAGTTTATTTCTTTGATACGGCGTCATGTAATTGTAAGAGCACGGTTTCAACAAATAGTCATGCTTCGTGATAAATATGATAAATGACAAACTAAATTTGTGATGGACTTTGACCCCGAGTTGCAGTCGACACTTGCATGTAAAATTTAAAAGCGCCGTCAAGCTACAACAAACACCGTCAAATCAAAGTCTTCTAAAAAAATAAGACGCATGTTGATCACATAAATGAGATACATAAGTAATGCAGTAGCTCTACAAAGATTGAGTTTGACAATTGTGAAACAATATTTTGAAAAAATATGCAGATTTTTCCCCAACTCCCAAGAAATTCTTGAATAGATGGATATTCATAAAATATACCCATTTGTAATAGGACGAGGAAAAGGAATAAAGATAGTGCTGAGGCCGGGGCTCGAACCCGCAACCCTTGGCTCTCCAGCCCGCTGCTCTACTGCTGAGCTAAAGGGAAATTCCCTACAGCTGACGCTTGTAAGGCAACCCAATTAATCCACATCTTTTACACTATGCCTCCCTTTTTCAAACACCAACCCAGGTTATTTGACTCCCCGACAAGTGTTCTCCTACCTTGAACGGGGAGGGTCAACGGCACCAATTTGTAATAGGATGAGGAAAAGTGATAAAGATAGTGCTGAGGCCGGGGCTCGAACCCGCAACCCTTGGCTCTCCAGCCCGTTGCTCTACTGCTGAGCTAAAGGGAAATTCCCTACAGCTGACGCTTGTAAGGCAACCCAATTAATCCACATCTTTTACACTAGTTTGTAATAGGACGAGGAAAAGTGATAAAGATAGTGCTGAGGCCGGGGCTCGAACCCGCGACCCCTGGCTCTCCAGCCCGATGCTCTGCCGTTGAGCTAAAGGGAAATTCCCCACAGCTGATGCTTGTAAGGCAACCCAATTAATCCACAACTTTTACACTATTCCTCCCTTTTTCAAACACCAACCCAGGTTATTTGTCTCCCCGACAAGTGTTCTCCTATCTTGAAGGGGGAGGGTTAACAGCACCAATTTGTAATAGGACGAGGAAAAGCGATAAAGATAGTGCTGAGGCCGGGGCTCGAACCCGCGACCCCTGGCTCTCCAGCCCGATGCTCTACCGTTGAGCTAAAGGGAAATTCCCCACAGCTGATGCTTGTAAGGCAACCCAATTAATCCACATCTTTTACACATTAAAAGTGGTGTGTTTTCATCATATGTCTATGGAAAAGCCCTTATATGATACACTTGTATGTAGATTATATGTGAATTGAATGAAATTTGAAGGAAATTGTTTTCAGGAAACTCAAGTATTACCCATAAATGCCACACTTTTAATTTGTCATCAGGAGGGCTAGGGGGTGTGTTCTTTAGGTGCTTAGTCTGAGCTTTCTCTGGCCCTGACTCCAGACTTACACATTTTGACAGATAAATGTCCTCCACTTCTCTGGCCCTGACTCCAGACTTACACATTTTGACAGATAGATGTCCTGCACTTCTCTAGCCCTAACTCCAGACTTACACATTTTGACAGATAGATGTCCTGCACCAGGCATCTTATATTGCTATCTGTCCAAATGTCTGAAGTCTTGTGACAATCAGAGCCAGAGAAAACTTGAGCTGTAGGTGCCAATAAGAAGCTATCCTAGACATGCCTGCCTCTGAAAGTTAAAACTGTATCCAAATCAATAAGTGACAATAAAGGTAATTCTATGGCATCACGAAGATTGCAGAATACTTTGTCTTTCCATGAAATATGACTGCAAATATAGAAATGCCAGCCCAAAAAAAAAGAAAGAAAAAATTCAAAGAATACCTTTCTTCCTTTATTGATCCCCAGGTGCGGTTACAGACTATGCCCAAACCAGCACCAGGAGAGAGTCCACTGTATAAAGGAACAATGGATTGCGCTTTACAGACAATGAGGAAAGAGGTAATGTAATTAAACTGTGTGTTTATATTTAGTTTGTCTTTTACGCCAGTGGACAGTATACATGTTTTCAGTCCATCCTCTGGTTCAAGGCTGCAATCAAAGAAAAGTTTATTTAGGTACATACTTATTTGATTATTTCTTTCTCTCACAGGATGTCAAGTTTTATAAACATTGGATGTAAAACAAAGTCATGAAAATTTATTGAAAAAAGTAAATCAACAAAAAATCCATTGGGAAAATGACATAATGTGAAAAACTTATGGCATTTGACTGTATATTAAGGTTTATGTTATGCCTTTTTTCAGGGATTCTTGGGTCTGTACAAAGGAATGGGCACCCCTTTGGCAGGGGTGGCTCCGATGTTTGCCATCTGTTTCTTCGGATTTGGGTTGGGTAAACGGCTACAGCAGAAAAAACCTGGTGACTCTCTGACGTAAGATTTTGACATTGACAACTCTGTTATACCATTCATAAGTTGTATAATTACAAACTCATTTTTGATGTAAAGCCATAGAACATCACATATGAAATAATTCTTTCTGCATAAAGGGTCAACTTCAAGGATATTTCTTTATCCCTTCTCTACTATCTACTACACATACTGTTTAACATCACTGATGTTAAACAGCAAGTGTAGTAGATAGTAGATTCAGATTTCGCCAATCACCAAATAGACACATCATTGACTCATATATGTTTTATTTAGATATGGTCAAATCTTCATGGCTGGAGGGTTAGCTGGAGTATTTACCACAGGGATCATGACCCCGGGAGAGAGGATCAAGTGTCTTCTCCAGGTATGTTTGTACAATGACCCCGGGAGAGAGGGTCAAGTGTCTTCTCCAGGTATGTTTGTACAATGACCCCGGGAGAGAGGGTCAAGTGTCTTCTCCAGGTATGTTTGTACAATGACCCCAGGAGAGAGGGTCAAGTGTCTTCTCAAGGTGTGGTTGTACAATGACCCAAGGAGAGAGTCAAGTGTCTTCTCCAGGTATGTTTGTACAATGACCCAAGGAGAGATGGTCAAGTGTCTTCTCCATGTATGCTTGTTCCATGACCTCAGGAAAAGGGTCAAGTGTCTTCTCTTGGTATGCTTGTACAATGACCCCTGGGGAGAGGGTCAAGTGTCTTCTCAAGGTGTGGTTGTACAATGACCCCAGGAGAGAGTCAAGTGTCTTCTCCAGGTATGTTTGTACAATGACCCCGGGAGAGAGGGTCAAGTGTCTTCTCCAGGCATGTTTGTACAATGACCCCAGGAGAGAGGGTCAATTGTCTTCTCCAGGTATGTTTGTACAATGACCCCAGGAGAGAGGGTCAAGTGTCTTCTTCAGGTATGTTTGTACAATGACCACAGGAGAGGGTCAAGTGTCTTCTCCAGGTATGCTTGTAAAATGACCCCAGGAGAGATGGTCAAGTGTCTTCTCCAGGTATGTTTTTACAATGACCCCAGGAGAGAGGGTCAATTGTCTTCTCCAGGTATGTTTGTACAATGACCCCAGGAGGGAGAGTCAAATGTCTTCTCCAGGTATGTTTGTACAATGCCCCCAGGAGGGAGAGTCAAGTGTCTTCTCCAGGAATGTTTGTACAATGACCCCAGGAGAGAGGGTCAATTGTGTTCTCCAGGTATGTTTGTACAATGACCCCAGGATAGAGGGTCAAGTGTCTTCTCCAGGTATGTTTTTACAATGACCCCAGGAGAGAGGGTCAAGTGTCTTCTTCAGGTATGTTTTTACAATGACCCCAGGAGAGGGTCAAGTGTCTTCTCCAGGTATGCTTGTAAAATGACCCCAGGAGAGATGGTCAAGTGTCTTCTCCAGGTATGTTTTTACAATGACCCCAGGAGAGAGGGTCAAGTGTCTTCTCAAGGTATGTTTGTACAATGACCCCAGGAGGGAGAGTCAAATGTCTTCTCCAGGTATGTTTGTACAATGACCCCAGGAGTGAGGGTCAATTGTCTTCTCCAGGTATGTTTTTACAATGACCCCAGGAGAGAGGGTCAAGTGTCTTCTCCAGGGATGTTAGTACAATGACCCCAGGAGGGAGGGTCAAATGTCTTCTCCAGGTATGTTTTTACAATGACCCCAGGAGGAAGAGTCAAGTGTCTTCTCCAGGTATGTTTGTACAATGTCCCCAGGAGTGAGGGTCAATTGTCTTCTCCAGGAATGTTTTTACAATGACCCCAGGAGAGAGGGTCAAGTGTCGTCTCAAGGTATGTTTGTACAATGACCCCAGGAGGGAGAGGCACGTGTCTTCTCCAGGTATGTTTTTACAATGACCCCAGGAGGGAGGGTCAAGTGTCTTCTCCAGGTATGTTTGTACAATGACCCCAGGAAAGAGGGTCAAGTGTCTTCTCCAGGTATGTTTTTACAATGACACCAGGAGGGAGAGTCAAGTGTCTTCTCCAGGTATGTTTTTACAATGACCCCAGGAGAGAGGGTCAAGTGTCTTCTCAAGGTATGTTTGTACAATGACCCCAGGAGGGAGAGTCACGTGTCTTCTCCAGGTATGTTTTTACAATGACCCCAGGAGGGAGAGTCAAGTGTCTTCTCCAGGTATGTTTGTACAATGACCCCAGGAGAGAGAATCAAGTGTCTTCTCAAGGTATGTTTTTACAATGACCCCAGGAGAGAGGGTCAAATGTCTTCTCCAGGTATGTTAGTACAATGACCCCAGGAGAGAGGGTCAAGTGTCTTCTCCAGGTATGTTAGTACAATGTCCCCAGGATTGAGGGTCAAGTGTCTTCTCCAGGTATGTTTTTACAATGACCGCATAAGAGAGGGTCAATTGTCTTCTACAGGTATGTTAGTGCAATGACCCCAGTAGTGAGGGTCAATTGTCTTCTCCAAGTATGTTTTTACAATGTACCCAGTAGAGAGGGTCAAGTGGCTTCTCCAAGTATGTTAGTACAATGACCCCAGGAGAGAGAATCAAGTGTCTTCTCAAGGTATGTTTTTACAATGACCCCAGGAGAGAGTTTCAAGTGTCTTCTCCAGGTATGTTTGTACAATGACCCCAGGAGAGAGGGTCAAGTGTCTTCTCCAGGTATGTTAGTGCAATGTCCCCAGTAGAGAGGGTCAAGTGTCTTCTCCAAGTATGTTAGTACAATGACCCCAGGAGAGAGTGTCAAGTGTCTTCGTCAGGTATGTTAATACAATGACCCCAGGGGTGAGGGTCAAATGTCTTCTCCAGGTATGTTTTTACAATGACCCCAGGAGAGAGATTCAGGTGTCTTTTCCAGGTATGTTTTTACAATGACCCCAGGAGAGAGATTCAAGTGTCTTCTCCAGGTATGATTTTACAATGTCCCCTGGAGTGAGTGTCAAGTGTCTTCTCCAGGTTTGTTTTTACAATGACCACATGAGAGAGGTCAATTGTCTTCTCCAGGTATGTTTTTACAATGACCACATGAGAGAGATTCAAGTGTCTTTTCCAGGTATGTTAGTACAATGTCCCCAGGAGTGAGTGTCAATTGTCTTCTCCAGGTATGTTAGTGCAATGTCCCCAGTAGTGAGGGTCAATTGTCTTCTCCAGGTATGTTTGTACAATGACCCCAGTAGTGAGGGTCAATTGTCTTCTCCAGGTATGTTAGTGCAATGTCCCCAGTAGTGAGGGTCAATTGTCTTCTCCATGTATGTTAGTACAATGTCCCCAGTACTGAGGGTCAATTGTCTTCTCCATGTATGTTAGTGCAATGTCCCCAGTAGTGAGGGTCAATTGTATTATACAGGTATGTTAGTGCAATGTCCCCAGGAGGGAGGGTCAAGTGTCTTCTCCAGGTATGTTAGTACAATGTCCCCAGTAGAGGGGGTCAAGTGTCTTCTCCAGGTATGTTAGTGCAATGTCCCCAGTAGTGCGGGTCAATTGTCTTCTCCAGGTATGTTAGCACAATGACCCAGGACAGAGGGTCAATTGTCTTCTCCAGGTATGTTAGCACAATGACCCAGGACAGAGGGTCAATTGTCTTCTCCAGGTATGTTTGTACAATGACCCCAGGAGGGAGAGTCAAATGTCTTCTCCAGGTATGTTTTTACAATGACCCCAGGAGGGAGGGTCAAGTGTCTTCTCCAGGCATGTTAGTACAATGTCCCCAGTAGAGGGGGTCAAGTGTCTTCTCAAGGTATGTTAGTGCAATGTCCCCAGTAGTCAGGGTCAATTGTCTTCTCCAGGTATGTTAGTACATTGACCCAGGACAGAGGGTCAATTGTCTTCTCCAGGTATGTTAGTACAATGTCCCCAGTAGTTAGGGTCAATTGTCTTCTCCAAGTATGTTTTTACAATGTCCCCAGGAGAGAGGGTCAAGTGTCTTCTCCAGGTATGTTTGTACAATGACCCCAGGACAGAGGGTCAAGTGTCTTCTCAAGGTATGTTTGTACAATGACCCCAGGAGGGAGAGTCACGTGTCTTCTCCAGGTATGTTTTTACAATGTCCCCAGTAGTGAGGGTCAATTGTCTTCTCCTGGTATGTTATTACAATGGCCCCAGGACAGAGGGTCAATTGTCTTCTCCAGGTATGTTAGCACAATGACCCAGGACAGAGGGTCAATTGTCTTCTCCAGGTATGTTAGCACAATGACCCAGGACAGAGGGTCAATTGTCTTCTCCAGGTATGTTAGCACAATGACCCAGGACAGAGGGTCAATTGTCTTCTCCAGGTATGTTTGTACAATGACCCCAGGACAGAGGGTCAAGTGTCTTCTCAAGGTATGTTTGTACAATGACCCCAGGAGGGAGAGTCAAATGTCTTCTCCAGGTATGTTTTTACAATGACCCCAGGAGGGAGAGTCAAGTGTCTTCTCCAGGTATGTTTGTACAATGACACCAGGCGGGAGAGTCAAATGTCTTCTCCAGGTATGTTTTTACAATGACCCCAGGAGAGAGGGTCAAGTGTCTTCTCCAGAGTGTCTTCTCCAGGTATGTTTTTACAATGTCCCCAGTAGTGAGGGTCAATTGTATTATGCAGGTATGTTAGTGCAATGTCCCCAGTAGTGAGGGTCAATTGTCTTCTCCAGGTATGTTAGTACAATGACCCAGGACAGAGGGTCAATTGTCTTCTCCAGGTATGTTAGTGCAATGTCCCCAGGAGTGAGGGTCAATTGTCTTCTCCTGGTATGTTTTTACAATGACCCCAGGACAGAGGGTCAATTGTCTTCTCCAGGGATGTTAGTACAATGACCCCAGGAGAGAGGGTCAAGTGTCTTCTCCAGGTATGTTAGTGCAATGTCCCCATTAGTACAATGTCCCCAGTAGTGAGGGTCAATTGCCAGGTCTGTTAGTGTTAGTACAATGACCCCAGGAGAGAGGGTCAAGTGTCTTCTCCAAGTATGTTTTTACAATGACCCCAGGACAGAGGGTCAAGTGTCTTCTCCAGGTCTGTTAGTGCAATGTCCCCAGGAGTGAGGGTCAATTGTCTTCTCCAGGGATGTTAGTACAATGACCCCAGGAGAGAGAGTCAAGTGTCTTCTCCAAGTATGTTTTTACAATGACCCCAGGAGGGAGTATCAATTGTCTTCTCCAGGTATATTAGTGCAATGTCCCCAGGAGTGAGGGTCAATTGTCTTCTCCAGGGATGTTAGTGCAATGTCCCCAGTAGTGAGGGTCAATTGTCTTCTCCTGGTATGTTTTTACAATGACCCCAGGAGGGAGAATCAATTGTCTTCTCCAGGTATATTAGTGCAATGTCCCCAGGAGTGAGGGTCAATTGTCTTCTCCAGGTATATGAGTGCAATGTCCCCAGGAGGGAGAATCAATTGTCTTCTCCAGGTATATTAGTGCAATGTCCCCAGGAGTGAGGGTCAATTGTCTTCTCCAGGTATGTTTTTACAATGACCCCAGGAGTGAGGGTCAAGTGTCATCCCCAGGTTTGTTAGTACAATGACCCCAGGAGAGAGGGTCAAGTGTCTTCTACAGATATGTTAGTGCAATGTCCCCAGTAGTGAGGGTCAATTGTATTATACAGGTATGTTTTTGCAATGACCGCATGAGAGAGGGTCAAGTGTCTTCTACAGGTATGTTAGTGCAATGTCCCCAGTAGTGAGGGTCAATTGTCTTCTCCAAGTATGTTTTTACAATGACCTCAGCGGAGAGAGTCAAGTGTCTTCTCCAGGTATGTTAGTACAATGACCGTTGTACAATACGTACTTCAGGATAGATTTTATTTTCATAATGGTCCACATTTTAGAGTTTACTTACCTTACTTGTATTTTTCCAGGTCCAAGCTGATTCAAAGATGAAGAAATATGCTGGTCCCTTGGACTGTGCTAAGCAGCTATACCGTGAGGGTGGTATTCGCAGTATCTACAAGGGCACAGCAGCAACACTCCTTCGAGGTAGGGGAAGTATTAGGGCTCCAAGGGATAGTTAGACACCTAATATTTTATGTATGAAGGGCACAGCAGCAACACTCCTCCGGAGTAGGGGAAGTATTAGGACTCCAAGGGATGGTTAGACACCTAATATTTTATATATGAAGGGCACAGCAGCAACACTCTTTCGAAGTAGGGGAAGTATTTGGACTCCAAGGGATGGTTAGACACCAAATATGTTATATAAGGGCACAGCAGCAACACTCCTCAGAGGTAAGTGAAGTATAAGGTCTCCAAGGGATGGTTAGACACCAAATATTTCATAAGGGCACAGCAGCAACACTCCTCAGAGGTAAGTGAAGTATAAGGTCTCTAAGGGATGGTTAGACACCAAATATTTCATATATGCACAGCAGCAACACTCCTCAGAGGTAGGGGAAGTATTAGGTCTCCAAGGGATGGTTAGACACCAAATATTTCATAAGGGCACAGCAGCAACACTCCACAGAGGTAAGTGAAGTATTAGGTCTCCAAGGGATGGTTAGACACCAAATATTTCAGAAGGGCACAGCAGCAACACTCCTCAGAGGTAGGGGAAGTATTAGGTCCCCAAGGGATGGTTAGACCCCAAATATTTCATAAGGGCACAGCATCAACACTCCACAGAGGTAAGTGAAGTATTAGGTCTCCAAGGGATGGGTAGACACCAAATATTTCACAAGGGCACAGCGGCAACATTCCTCAGAGGTAGGGGAAGAATTAGGTCTCCAAGGGATGGTTAGAAACCAAATATTTCAGAAGGGCACAGCCGCAACACTCCTCAGAGGTAGGGGAAGTATTAGGTCTCCAAGGGATGGTTAGACACCAAATATTTCACAAGGGCACAGCAGCAACATTCCTCAGAGGTAGGGGAAGTATTAGGTCTCCAAGGGATGGTTAGACACCAATTATTTCATAAGGGCACAGCAGCAGCACTCCTCAGAGGTAGGGGAAGTATTAGGTCTCCAAGGGATGGTTAGACACCAAATATTTCATAAGGGCACAGCAGCAACACTCCTCAGAGGTANAGTATTAGGTCTCCAAGGGATGGTTAGACACCAAATATTTCATATGGGCACAGCAGCAACACTCCTCAGAGGTAGGGGAAGTATTAGGTCTCCAAGGGATGGTTAGACACCAAATATTTCATATGGGCACAGCAGCAACACTCCTCAGAGGTAGGGGAAGTATTAGGTCTCCAAGGGATGGTTAGACACCAAATATTTCATATGGGCACAGCAGCAACACTCCTCAGAGGTAGGGGAAGTATTAGGTCTCCAAGGGATGGTTAGACACCAAATATTTCATATGGGCACAGCAGCAACACTCCTCAGAGGTAGGGGAAGTATTAGGTCTCCAAGGGATGGTTAGACACCAAATATTTCATATGGGCACAGCAGCAACACTCCTCAGAGGTAGGGGAAGTATTAGGTCTCCAAGGGATGGTTAGACACCAAATATTTCATATGGGCACAGCAGCAACACTCCTCAGAGGTAGGGGAAGTATTAGGTCTCCAAGGGATGGTTAGACACCAAATATTTCATATGGGCACAGCAGCAACACTCCTCAGAGGTAGGGGAAGTATTAGGTCTCCAAGGGATGGTTAGACACCAAATATTTCATATGGGCACAGCAGCAACACTCCTCAGAGGTAGGGGAAGTATTAGGTCTCCAAGGGATGGTTAGACACCAAATATTTCATATGGGCACAGCAGCAACACTCCTCAGAGGTAGGGGAAGTATTAGGTCTCCAAGGGATGGTTAGACACCAAATATTTCATATGGGCACAGCAGCAACACTCCTCAGAGGTAGGGGAAGTATTAGGTCTCCAAGGGATGGTTAGACACCAAATATTTCATATGGGCACAGCAGCAACACTCCTCAGAGGTAGGGGAAGTATTAGGTCTCCAAGGGATGGTTAGACACCAAATATTTCATATGGGCACAGCAGCAACACTCCTCAGAGGTAGGGGAAGTATTAGGTCTCCAAGGGATGGTTAGACACCAAATATTTCATATGGGCACAGCAGCAACACTCCTCAGAGGTAGGGGAAGTATTAGGTCTCCAAGGGATGGTTAGACACCAAATATTTCATATGGGCACAGCAGCAACACTCCTCAGAGGTAGGGGAAGTATTAGGTCTCCAAGGGATGGTTAGACACCAAATATTTCATAAGGGCACAGCAGCAACACTCCTCAGAGGTAGGGGAAGTATTAGGTCTCCAAGGGATGGTTAGACTTCAGCTGTAATTTGAATTAAACATGCAATAGGACAAGACTACAAAGTAACCCTTAAATCAATTAATTCTAAATTATCATAATTAAGATATTGTCATTACTTTTTGGTGTGATACTCTCAATTATTTTTTTGTTGCTACTGTTTAATATATCGCTATGAATCAATTTTTTAAATTGTTTACATGTATTTTCAGACATCCCAGCTAGTGGAATGTACTTCATGAGTTATGAGTGGCTACAACATACCCTAACTCCTAAAGGAGGAAGGTAGGTCCGGGTTCAAACCTTGGGAAACATTGAAACTTTGACTCAAGAATTGTTTAACTTCTGATGCATTGAGATCCTTTATATACTGCATCAGACAAATGGTATTACTAAGTGACAGAACACGAGGCAAGAAATTCAATTGGAATCTGTAAATATTGTATTTTATGTAAATTAAAAAATATATTGTTCATGTACACTGTAGTATGTTCTCGCACAGTTAATTGGTTTACTACAATTTATTATTTCCTGATGATCAGACCTTGATTTGGGTTTGAAACAGAAAGAAATTTGGCTTTTATGAAAGTTTGATCCGTAAATAGAATATCACTATAAATATCAGTAGTGTTGTATGAGGGGAAAATTTGGACTTGACGTTAGTTCGATACATCAAGAAATCTGAATCTATAAAGTTCAATACATGGAAGTTTGACTATGTATAGGGAATGTATTGTTTCTGTCACATATCCTCAAATATAGGGAATGTATTGTTTCTGTCACATATCCTTAAATATAGGGAATGTATTGTTTCTGTCACATATTCTTAAATATAGGGAATGTATTGTTTCTGTCACATATCCTTAATAGTAGTTTCAGGGCCTGAACTTCCTTGACCGGCCATGCAGATTGTACATTTTAGGATGTGTCTGTGTCACCCACTTAACCCTTTCACCCCAATGTAACTTTAGTAGACTGTACCATGCATTGATCTGGATAAATCCATTATGGTCTACAGTGGTGAAAGGGTTAAATCTAGCTGACGTTGACTTATATTTTCTGGACCACTGAGCATAACAAAAAGTTCTTTGTCACTGTTTTTCCAATTTTTTTCATGTAGATTCATGACACTTCATATTTCAATTGATCTAGGGGTGAAGGCATGTAGGTCACTAAATCTAGGTCACAGTGACCTATATTTTTCAGTCAACTAAACAATAAATGTAATACATGTTCTCCTCAAGATTGACCATACTTAAAAACGTGCTGTTACAATCCATGGCTGAATGTGTATAGCACCACAACTAGCTCAAACTTACTTACCTTTTCCAATCCACTTTAGAATCCCAGTCCCGCTGCACTGTGGCTTTTCCTATAAACAGTTACCTCCTCTCAATTCCGTTTTAGATTCAACTGTAGCACAGTTAGACCAGGACACTTTTGATGACTGGTCAAGCTCTGTTAGAGCGATAGTAAAACAATCTGAGGTCAAGGGTCAAATTTCCCGGTGTAGCCCTGCTGAATTTTACAACTCACCAACACTGTTGTTACATTTTGAACTTTTATTTTAAAAGTGGTGATGCAACTTTCATCTAAATTGTCACACATCATGAATGATTATATGCTGACAAGGAGAAACAAAATGGTTTGTTCAGATTTTGTGTATAATTCCTCCTGTTTTATCGTTAAGCACTATAATAGAATAAATCAGCTTGTTTGCTAAGATAAGTTCATTCAGCTGATTCCCCTGTGATTATTTGATAGGATGAGAGAGTTTTGATTTGGTGATTTTGCAGTCGTGACGACCTGAGTGTTGGGCGTACCCTGCTCGCCGGAGGAATAGCTGGTATCTGTAATTGGGCTGTGGCTCTTCCAGCAGATGTTCCCAAATCAAGGCTACAGACAGGTACGTTATCTCCCCTGGATCCTAAAACTTAACTATAAGTCAGGGGTAGAATTTAAGTGTTTTGACCAGGTAGACAGCTGGGCTAGTACATCCTGAAATTTACCAGTCCTAGGCAAATGTTACTAGCCAAGAATTTTCATACATTTCAAAAAAATAAATATAAAAAATACCAATGCAAAAAGCATTATTAACAGTTTAATTCAACAATGACTAGCGGCTACACTCATATCGATATGCTGCTTACTTCGTTCATTTGCCGAAATCGACTGTTGTGAAATTTACAACATAGATAGATTTACATTCGGCTTCCGTTGACGCAAACTCGACACAACACTTACAAAGTATCGCCTCTTCGTGGATATATATTACATGCATCACTTAAAACATTTTAGTATATAACTCATAGAGAGACTATGTTATACATACAGACACACAAATTAACACATATTGAAACATTTTAGTATATAATTCATAGAGAGGTACTTTATTATACATACAGACACACAAATTAACACATATTGAAACATTTTAGTATATAATTCATAGAGAGACTATGTTATACATACAGACACACAAATTAACACATATTGAAACACATTATACCAGGCAGCATTACCATGTTTCACTATGCATATCATCAATGATTTGAAAACTTAAAGATGAGTAGTTTTCCCCTTTTTCATTTTAAATAATCAGTATTGATTAATTAATCTTGCATTCAGAATGGAAAGTTCAAAAGCTATGTGAACCTGCCCTTATGAAGAAGAAAGCGTAGTTTGAACACCGTTATTTTATTTGTTGACAGCCCCTGCGGGTATGTACCCCAATGGTATCCGTGACGTGATCCGACAGCTGATCAAGGAGGATGGTATCATGTCACTTTACAAAGGGTTCACGCCTGTCATGCTCAGAGCATTCCCAGCCAATGCTGTAAGTACCAGTTTGTTTGTTAACACTCCATCAGTCTGTTTATACTCCCATCAGTCTGTCTGTTTACACTCCATCAGTCTGTCTGTTTACACTCCATCAGTCTGTTTACACTCCATCAGTGTGTCTGTTTACACTCCATCAGTGTGCCTGTTTACACTCCATCAGTCTGTTTATACTCCCATCAGTCTGTCTGTGTACACTCTATCAGTCTGTTAACACTCCATCAGTCTGTCTTTATACTCCATCAGTCTGTATTTATACTCCATCAGTGTGTCTGTTTACACTCCATCAGTCTGTTTACACTCCATCAGTCTGTTTATACTCCATCAGTCTGTTTACACTCCATCAGTCTGTATTTACACTCCATCAGTCCGTCTGTTTTCACTCCATCAGTCTGTCTGTGTACACTCCATCAGTCCGTCTGTTTTCACTCCATCAGTGTGTCTGTGTACACTCCATCAGTCTGTATTTACACTCCATCAGTCTGTCTGTTTTCACTCCATCAGTCTGTCTGTGTACACTCCATCAGTCTGTCTTTACACTCCATCAGTGTGTCTGTTTACACTCCATCAGTCTGTCTTTATACTCCATCAGTGTGTCTGTTTACACTCCATCAGTCTGTCTATACTCCATCAGTCTGTTTATACTCCATCAGTCTGTTTACACTCCATCAGTCTGTATTTACACTCCATCAGTCTGTCTGTTTTCACTCCATCAGTCTGTCTTTGTACACTCCATCAGTCTGTCTTTACACTCCATCAGTGTGTCTGTTTACACTCCATCAGTCTGTCTTTATACTCCATCAGTGTGTCTGTTTACACTCCATCAGTCTGTTTACACTCCATCAGTCTGTTTATACTCCATCAGTCTGTTTACACTCCATCAGTCTGTATTTACACTCCATCAGTCTGTCTGTTTTCACTCCATCAGTCTGTCTTTGTACACTCCATCAGTCCGTCTGTACACTCCATCAGTGTGTCTGTTTACACTCCATCAGTCTGTATTTATACTCCATCAGTGTGTCTGTTTACACTCCATCAGTCTGTTTACACTCCATCAGTCTGTTTATACTCCATCAGTCTGTTTACACTCCATCAGTCTGTATTTACACTCCATCAGTCTGTCTGTTTTCACTCCATCAGTCTGTCTGTGTACACTCCATCAGTCCGTCTGTTTTCACTCCATCAGTGTGTCTGTGTACACTCCATCAGTCTGTATTTACACTCCATCAGTCTGTCTGTTTTCACTCCATCAGTCTGTCTGTGTACACTCCATCAGTCTGTCTTTACACTCCATCAGTGTGTCTGTTTACACTCCATCAGTCTGTCTTTATACTCCATCAGTGTGTCTGTTTACACTCCATCAGTCTGTCTGTTTTCACTCCATCAGTCTGTCTTAAAACTCCATCAGTCTGTATTTACACTCCATCAGTCTGTCTGTTTTCACTCCATCAGTCTGTCTTAAAACTCCATCAGTCTGTATTTACACTCCATCAGTCTGTCTGTTTTCACTCCATCAGTCTGTCTTAAAACTCCATCAGTCTGTATTTACACTCCATCAGTCTGTCTGTTTTCACTCCATCAGTCTGTCTTAAAACTCCATCAGTCTGTCTTTACACTCCATCAGTCTGTCTGTTTTCACTCCATCAGTCTGTCTTAAAACTCCATCAGTCTGTCTTTATACTCCATCAGTCTGTCTGTTTACACTCCATCAGTCTGTCTGTTTTCACTCCATCAGTCTGTCTTAAAACTCCATCAGTCTGTCTTTATACTCCATCAGTCTGTCTGTTTACACTCCATCAGTCTGTCTGTTTTCACTCCATCAGTCTGTCTTAAAACTCCATCAGTCTGTCTTTATACTCCATCAGTCTGTATTTACACTCCATCAGTGTGTCTGTGTACACTCCATTAGTCTGTTTACACTCCATCAGTCTGTCTGTTTACACTCTATCAGTCTGTTTACACTCCATCAGTGTCTGTTTACACTCCATCAGTCTGTTTACACTCCATCAGTGTGTCTGTTTACACTCCATCAGTCTGTCTGTTTACATTTCATTAGTCTTTCTGTTTACACTCAGTCAATCTCTGTTTTCACTCCATCAGTCTCTGTTTACACTCCATCAGTCTGTCTATGTACACTCCATCAGTCTGTCTGTGTAAAATATTGTTTTCAGACAAAAATTTACTTTGATTAAATAATAAAAAAAACTTACAGTCGGGGTCCCAATATTTCAGCCTCTTGGCCTTCAAGGGAGAAAGTGTTGTCTTGTTTGGCAAATGATGATGTTAAAATAACTTGTGCATTTGCACAGTGTCAAAGACACCAAACTGTCCTCAGCATGTGGGTGGTAGCAAGGCTGTCAATCAAATTCACCTACCTTGGTAAATATCTCCAGCTTGAGGATTGTGTAAAAGATGTGTAATATACAGACTTTAAAAAGTTACCACATCCTATTAACAGCTATTGTCGTCTAAGGACGTGCCAGGTTTTGCAATCTTCAGCTGTTGGTAATTTCTCGAGCTCAGTGGTAGAGGGTAGCTAGAGAATTTAACCGGTTTGATCCTGTGAGGAGACTCCTTGTTGTTGTGTTATTCCTTCCAAATACACATATCACTTCCAAAGAGATATAACTTATCATTTTAATTTACTTGTGTTAATAAATTATTTGATTATTGTTTTATCAACATCTTCATCTTTTTAGGCATGTTTCCTTGGATACGAAGTGACGATGAAGGGACTCAACTGGATGTCTCCAGATAATTGATGCTAGCTGATCATATAGACTGTACAGTGTCTAAAAAGTGTAGTACGGTACTAGATACCTTTATATGCATCTAACCTTTGGCCTCTACTGACCTCTTTGAGGTTAGTCAGGGGTTAGAGGTTAATTATTCAGTGTCCTTGAACTTGAGAAGGTAATCTCAGGGCTGTGTGATATTTAAAACTGTTTGTGTGGGACAGCATGGGAAGAGTGTTGATATACAGACTGTGATGTTTGTCATGTGAGAATGGTGATAAATATATACACTAACCTGAAAGGTAATGAGTGTGATACACCTAGACATTCAAATCATGTTGCACTTTTTTTTTTAGTCTAAAATATCATTAAACAAACCGTACTTTTTTTTTTTTTTTGAAATCTTTTGCAAAATAAAGAATTATTAAGTTTTGTTGAGTGACTCTTATCATATCTGAATGCTTTTTACCTGAACTTAGTTTTTTGTTCGAAATACCTAAATATTTGATTTAGCTGAATGCAATCTTTTGTTTAAGCTACCCAGTCATAACTGAATGTTGATTGAGCTGAATTCAGTCATTTGTTTCAGTAACCGTCATACCTAAATGTTGACCTACCAGAATTCAGTCATTTGTTTCAGTAACCGTCATACCTAAATGTTGACCTACCTGAATTCAGTAATTTGTTTCAGTAGCTGTCATACCTAAATGTTGACCTACCTGAATTCAGTCTTTTGTTTCAGTAACCGTCATACCTAAATGTTGACCTACCTGAATTCAGTAATTTGTTTCAGTAGCTGTCATACCTAAATGTTGACCTACCTGAATTCAGTCTTTTGTTTCAGTAACCGTCATACCTAAATGTTGACCTACCTGAATTCAGTAATTTGTTTCAGTAGCTGTCATACCTAAATGTTGACCTACCTGAATTCAGTCTTTTGTTTCAGTAGCTGTCATACCTAAATGTTGACCTACCTGAATTCAGTAATTTGTTTCAGTAGCTGTCATACCTAAATGTTGACCTACCTGAATTCAGTCTTTTGTTTCAGTAGCTGTCATACCTAAATGTTGACCTACCTGAATTCAGTAATTTGTTTCAGTAGCTGTCATACCTAAATGTTGACCTACCTGAATTCAGTCTTTTGTTTGATTTGCCCTATCATACATAAATGTTGGTTATTAACCTGAATGCATTTTTTGTTAGCATTACTCTTTTATACCTGAGTGTGAATTTACCTGAATCCAGTTGTTAGTCAACATACGGGTAAATACCACATTTACAAACAATCAACTAGGTCCCAGGCTGGGAATATGTGTACCTGGTAGTAGAAAGTCAACCCTGTATGTTAGAATGACAGAAACTGCATTCTCGCTACAAAACAGCAGCTGTGCTTTAAAGATTTCTTTTCTGTTTTTTTGCGATCCATTCATTTTATTTTTTGTGAAAGTTGTTATACATGTATACACATATACAAGGGAAAAAATCAGCATGGAGGAAATACATTGACATTAATTTCAACAAGATTTTTCAAGTTTAATTGAGATTCCAAACTAATAAATTTGCTTTAAAGAGAAGTAATGTCTAGTAAGACTGATTCTGCCTATAAAGACCTCATATCTAAATCTACCTGTGTGTACCATGTCTATAAAAACAGTGATCACCTGTCTGTAAATACCACAGCATCGGTCTCTATGAAGATGTTTGGCAGTAGGTTTTTATTGACATAGGGGGCCCACACATTATGACAGAACACATCGTACTAAGATCATATTAAAGTATTATAATAATCATATCTCTAAATTATTGTTTCAGTTCTCTATCGTTGTATCTTGTCTAAGCTCTAGTTCATTTTCTTTCTTGTGTTGATAATGTTGTGAGCATATCTAAGCAATTTGTTTCAGTTATTATATTTTATGTAATCAGATTTAATAAATTATTTTTGAACACAATGAATCCTGATGTTCTCTGTTGTAACCAGCTGATTTTCCGTGATCAAAAACTGAATTCACCCTTTTTTACGTAAACATTGAGTTTCTTCATAGATTTGCATTTAAGCTGTATCTGTAAAAGCCCTTTTCAAGGTGACCTGAGTCACTCACATGACCTATGGCGAGTGATTTTCGTTGATCATTGTGCATCATTAGTAAATTACAATTATATTTCCAACTTTTCAGAAACTGTCAGTTTCTGATGAACATTTATCTGTCATCAGCATTAGGTACGGACTAGAATTTATGCTCAAGAAGGGACTGGCCCACTTCTCCTACCCCTCCAGTAAAACACAGAACACAATTCCTCGAACCTTCCAAATGATACATCTGCAAGTTATAAACAAAGCCCTTTTCAGGAAATTATACTTGGATGATAAGAATTTGACTCTAAACTGAAGTAAACATGAACCCTTCCTAGGGGACTGAGCCATATTATAGATAAGTGAACCCAGTGACATACAATATAATTCCACTTAGGTGGCAACAGGCTTCTTGTGGTTCTGCAATAAGGAGCAGTTGGGAGGATTTTTTTCCTGAATTTTTCACTGACAATGGCAGCCATCATGCATCCCAAAAACGTGTCCATTCCACACAAGATGAAATTTGCTCAATCAAATCCCATTTTTAGCTCGCCTATTATAAGAATAAGGGGGGCTAATGTAGTCCTCCCACTTTACTCAGGTTAAAGATTTTTCCAGACGACGTTTTACCATCCAACTCCATACACTGATGTCTATTATAAGGTTGAGGCATTTGTATGGAGTGTAAGCAATGTGCTGAACCATAATTTAGGGGCCCAAAACAGCTTAATTGGGCTTTATTGAAGTTTTGAGCAAGCTTTTATGCCCAGTGTTGGATCACCACCACCAATAGGCTGTTGTCTATGTCACGTTGTCTGGTCATCTCTTCTTTAGAAATGTACAACATGTTGGGGTACAGCAAAACCTGGTTATATTGCCACCATTTGTTCACAGATATGTTGGCATTATAAAGGATTTTGGCAATAAATTGAGGGAAACGTAAAAAGGAATTCTTGTTAAGAAAAACAATTAAGGCACCTTGAAATATGTTGGTGATAAGCAAGGTGGCAAATGAAATGATGGGCGTTATATCAAGGTTTTACTCTATTGATATTTGCTATCTTATAATAACATATATAATAATAGGCGAGCTATGCTATTCTTCAACAGCTGTTGTTCAATAATAGTTCTCATTGCAATCAGGATACCCTTTTTATACACCCGTCAAATTTTGAAGGGAGTATTATGGTATGGGGTTGTCCGTCTGTTCGGCATAAACTTTTGTTTGTCCGGCAATCTTCTCCTACATTTTTCGACTGATCTCTTTGAAACCTAGTATACATTATAATCATGATATGAAGTTGTGTCTCCCTTAAAAGAATTTCGATTCGACGACTTTTGCAAAAGTAATTGCCCTTTGTTCATTTCATTTTTTGATTTTTTGTCCAGAGATTTTCTCCTACATTATTTATAGCATGTCAGCTAACCACTCTTAGAATGATGCAGATCTTATTTCAATGTAGGAAAGTATATAACACTATAAGGCATTCGACGGGTGTAAATTGTTCCGCCCGCAGTACTCTTGTTATTATTCACAAATAAATTGAAATTATGAATGAAGTTGGTCTAATAAAACACTAGTTATAACTGCAAATTGCTCTGCCAATCAGAGGCGATAACATCGATCTTGAATCAAAGTGTTAATTAAAGTGACCAAATTATGACAGAATTTGTTCAAGGACAAAAACAAAAAGAACATCATTTTACAGCAAAACGATACCATCGATAAGTTTTATTCAGCTTTTAGGTCCTTGATAAAACTCAGATCTGGACAACATTTGTGAGAATTCTGTTTTCATTGATTAAACTATAGAAGAATTAATAAAGCAAGCCAAAACAATTGTGTTAAAAATTAACTTTATTAAGCATTTGGAAATGTATACCTTGATAAAGTTTCTAGTATACCTAGAAGGTGAATTAGAGAATGTGTTTATTTCATGATAAATACAATGTACAAATACATACCACTTACATACATAAATAATATAGATAGGCAAGATGTCCGCCAAGTAGAAATAGTCTGACGGACAAATGCATGCATTGTTACCCCCCTACCTAATATCCTGGCTGACATGTTCAATAGACCACGAAGGAACAGGTTAATAAGTTGGTGAGCTCATTCTCATAAGATCAGCTGACAAATTACAAACTGACAAGCATCTGAACTTAACTTTACAGAAACCTTAAGAAGATGCAAATTTTCAAGTTTCAAATAATATAAACCATTGATGAAGTATGAAATTTAACCAAATCAAATTTTGAACCTGAATGCTGAAAAAACTGTTGGCACTTTATATTGACCGTAGTCACAGGTAACAATGACATGTAGATTATCCAGACAATTACGAAATGCACCAAGTTACGCAGGTAACTCTTAAATATACATCTCACCATGTGATATAATGGTAACCTTGGTAACACATAAACAGATTGCTGTCTTAGAACTTAATAAAAATCTTTCTGTTACTGAATCAAGACAGTGGAACTGTTAGAATGGTACAGTAATTTTTATCAGAGATTGAAATTATTCAGATATCTGTTATTTGTCTGACCATTTTGACCACACATCATGTCTTGAAGGGAGACAGTGAATAGATTTTGTTTGGACAATTACCCAAGGCATTAGCTATTTACAGACTTCATATCAATCCCTAGCAAGTGTTAAAATGGAAAGTTCAAATGAATTCTGTATGCCAAATTAGAGAGTTCTACTACCTAAATCTTCAAAAGCACATTTTGTTAAGTCAACTCCCCCATCCATTCATAAGAACGAGTCCTTTATAAACTATAGGGATGACCAGGTTTATTCACATGACCATTCACGTATACAAAACACCATTCACGTATACAAAACAATCTCCACCAAAAGTTGTTCTCGTCATTTCACCTTGGTGTCAATATGTGTCTATCAGTCAATAACAGCTTGGTGTAAATATGGGTCAATAACAGCTTGGTGTAAATATCGGTCAATAACACCTTGGTGTAAATATCGGTCAATAACACCTTGGTGTAAATATTGGTCAATAACACCTTGGTGTAAATATCGGTCAATAACAGCTTTCAGTAGGATTTGTTTACACTCTTCTTCATAATGAAATATAATGGTAAAAATATTGATACTTATATATATCAAATCTAAGTTATGTCATAAGTTTCTTCCACGGAGAACACGTCCTTCTCAGTCCAGCGTTGCTCGGTAGCTCCCATTTAATATCTGAAAGTCCCTGATGAAATTTCTTCATTAATCCTGTTAAATAGAGATTCACATCAAAAGACTTACATAAATCTTTAAAATTTGTTTTAAATATCAGACTATAAATAAAATATTACAGATTTCTTAATAGAATTGTTACAGAAAACAAGATACACAATGGACAAGGTATTTAGGAATGTGATTCACACTTACAGAAAATACATAATCATAGATATTACTACATTTGTACAATAATAAATAACTCAAATATGAAATGTCAATAATGGAATTAAAAATTCAGTTTCTCAAATATCATGCTACTCGTGTAAATCAAATATTTACCTACCTTTAAATGTCCCTAAAAACGCTTGAGGAATTCTTCAGCACTGACACGGGCCCTGGAGTTGACAGCTAGTTTCATTTCGCTAATTTCTTTATCAATTTCTTCCATGAAGTGGATGACGAAGTCGACCAGCTTGTGTTTGTACATCTGTTCTGCATGGAAATTTGTGACGAGGAAACTGATATCGTAGCCCTGAGGAGAAATAAGACATACAAAATAAGTAAAGCTGCTATAACTGGTATTATTATACCTCTACTGAGTTTTCCCTATATAAAAACAATACTATAAAATCTGCCCTTAAATCACTAAAATCTCTCCATCCGAGAGCTACTCCCTCCCCAAATCAGGACTACTCCCTGCCAGAAAGAGGACTACTCCCTCATGAATATTTGTAGGTGGAGCTTATAAGATTTCAACCAGTGAAAACATTGGTAGGCGGAGCTTATAAGATTTCAACCAATGAAAACATTGGTAGGCGGAGCTTATAAGATTTCAACCAGTGAAAACATTGGTAGGCGGGGCCTTCTCCATGACGCTCGTGAAGTCATATTTTCAGAACCAAATGACAACAGTGAAAATGGCCACCGATAAAGGCCGTTTTGTTGTAAAGAGGAGTTACAGCAGATTTTGGACGCTAAACGTAACCTAAATACAAAAGCTGTTATAAAGACTGCAGTGAATTCACTTCAAACTTATTTAACAGAACGGAATGCCGAAAGCGTCGAAGAGTATGGTCATGCAAGCTCTTTTAAAACAAAGTGGATAGGACTAGTTCTAGATATGCATATGGTAGGAAAACAATGGTGACTATGAGATTCAGTCTATAAAAACACTTCTTGAATGCTAGGAATGAAGTTATCATCAACGACGATGCATACAGTACTTCCAATTGTATTTTTTTCTCTTTCTGTCTTTGAAATTGTAAAAGGAAATGAATAAATAAATTCATTGGTTAAATTGCCTTTTCTGGGTGAATAATTTGTTTCGTTACAATAAAACAGTTATAGAATGGGTAATTCGGGAAATAGCACATTTATGGTCCCCCTTGGTGGAAAACTATTCCCCTCGACGGCTTCGCCGCCTTGGAAAATAGTTTTTCACCTCGGGGGACCATGAATGTGCTATTTCCCGAATTACCCATTCTATAACTGTATATTATTATACCTCTTATGAGTTTCCCTATATAAAAACAATACAATAAAATGTCCTATTTCCCTAAAATCACTTATGTCTCTCCATCTGAGGGCTACTCCCTCCCCAAATTAGTACTACTCCCTGCAAGAAAGGACTACTCCCTCCCAGGAAGAAGACTACTCCCTCATGAATATTTGTAGGTGGAGCTTATAAAATTCCAACCAATGAAAACATTTGGTAGGCGGGGCCTTCTCTGTGACGCAAGCGACGTCACAATTCAGATTCTAACGACAACAGCGAAAATGGCCATCGATGTGGGCCGTTTTGATACATGTAATCTTACTGATCAGGAATAACAGCATATTTTGGACGCTAAAAGTATAGCTTAAATACAAAAGCTGCTGTTAAACCAGTACTTTAAACTTATTTAACTGAAAGGAATGCCGGGGGCGTCGATTATTAGGACAGAGCAAGCTCAGAAGAGGCGAACGTGTGTCCACGCAAGTTTTATGCTTAAAAAAGTGGATGGGACTAAATATGGTAGGAAATCAATGGTGACTATAAGATAAGGTCTAGAAAAACAATTCTTGAATTCTAGAAATGAAGATATCATCAACAACGATGAATACAGCACTTCCAATTTTGATAAGTTTTTTCTCTTTGAAATTGTTTAAAAAATAAATTCATAAATTCATTTGTTAAATTGCCTTAATTTGTTTCGTTATAATAAAACAGTTATAGAATGGGTAATTCGTGAAAAAGCAAATTTATGGTCACCCTTGGTGAAAAACTATTTCCCTCGGCGGCTTTGCTGCCTCTGGAAATAGTTGTTAACCTCGGGGGACCATAAATTTGCTATTTCCCTCATACCCATTCTATAACTGTATACTGTATAGTTGGTATTTAATATCTATTTTAGTCACCATGACAACCAAAAATACTCTTAGGCAATTACAATGTAGTCATTGGTTCGAATGTCACATCATCATCTCACAACTGAAAAATGAAGTTCTCATATTTCAAGTTCTCGTATTTCAAGTTCTCGTATTTCATTTTTGCTTAACATACAGTTCCTTTTATACACTAAAATATTTTAAAGACAAAAGCAATATAGTGAGGCTCCTAACTCATTCCTTTTGTTGTTTACTTTTTTTCTCTGGGACGACTAAATCTGAAAAGTGACTATGAAGCATGAAGAATAATCCACATTTTTGTGCAGGAACTGACCTCGACCTTTGATGAAATGACCTTAAAAGTTATACTGACACTTGAGATTTCTGAAGATACATGTATGGCCAAGAAAATGAAGGTATGGCGTGAAGACCATCAGACAATCACATTGGAAGAATTAACTCAAAATGACTCTGATCCTTGGCAAAATTATACGACAAAGGAAACACACCATGTTTTTGTCTTAGGTAAAACTATAAATCATTTTATTTTAGCATATAATCCATTTTACATGTACTTGAATTTGCCATGGAGATGGTGCCATTTCAATACTGATCTTTGGACTTAATTCACATAGCACTGAAATTTGCAAATACATGAAGGTCTTCATGGAAATTTGGTTTAGACAATATAGGAAAGCAGTGATATGGAAATCAAATTGGTAACAGAGGGACAGATGATCTGAATATGTTACAGGTACAACCGGTCAAACCAAATACACCTAATAGTTCTACATGATTCTCTTCTTATTCCCTGATATTGAACACCTGATGATAGTTTAAGATTTTTTATATATATTTTATTGTTATCTACTGACTTACCTCCACTGGCTTTCGTCGAAGAATTACAAAATTTTCGGCTCTCATCATCATAAACCTCATGAACTTATGACACAAAATCTTCTCAATATCGTCTGCCTGTTCATAAAAAAGAAACAACAGCCATATTTATAATTATTACAGCCTAAACAGAATTGTTTCTCTCTGACAGAGACTTAACTAGAGTGTACACTGATTATTTCCCTTAGACCTATTACAGGCTACTGTATGTGAACTCTTATATATCTATCTGATGGTCCTATACAAGGCCAATTTTGAAATATTTTCCGTTTTGCATTGACCGATTCATTGAATAACAAAGCATCAAAGTCAAATTCCAGCTGTTATACCTACTATCTGTTATACCTACTATCTCGTCAGATTCCAGCTTTAATTCCAGCTGTTATACCTACTATCTCGTCATATTCCAGCTTTAATTCCAGCTGTTATACCTACTATCTCTAATTCCAGCTTTAATTCCAGCTGTTATACCTACTATCTCGTCAGATTCCAGCTTTAATTCCAGCTGTTATATCTATCTCGTCATATTCCAGCTTTAATTCCAGCTGTTAAACCTACTATCTTGTCATATTCCAGCTTAAATTCCAGCTGTTATACCTACTATCTGTTATACCTACTATCTCATCAGATTCCAGCTTTAATTCCAGCTGTTATACCTACTATCTCGTCACATTCCAGCTATAATTCCAGCTGTTATACCTACTATCTGTTATAACTACTATCTACTCAGATTCCAGCTGTTATACCTACTATCTGTTATACCTACTATCTCATCAGATTCCAGCTATAATTCCAGCTGTTATACCTCCTATCTGTTATACCTACTATCTCGTCAGATTCCAGCTCTAATTCCAGCTGTTATACCTACTATCTAGTCAGATTCCAGCTATAATTCCAGCTGTTATACCTACTATCTAGTAAGATTCCAGCTTTAATTCCAGCTGTTATACCTACTATCTGTTATAACTACTATCTAGTCAGATTCCAGCTATAATTCCAGCTGTTATACCTACTATCTGTTATACCTACTATCTCGTCAGATTCCAGCTATAATTCCAGCTGTTATACCTACTATCTAGTCAGATTCCAGCTTTAATATCAGCTGTTATACCTACTATCTGTTATACCTACTATCTAGTCAGATTCCAGCTATAATTCCAGGTGTTATACCTACTATATGTTATACCTACTATCTCATCAGATTCCAGCTTTAATTCCAGCTGTTATACTTTCTATCTCGTCAGATTCCAGCTTTAATTCCAGCTGTTATACCTACTATCTAGTCAGATTCCAGCTTTAATTCCAGCTGTTATACCTACTATCTAGTCAGATTCCAGCTTTAATTCCAGCTGTTATACCTACTATCTAGTCAGATTCCAGCTTTAATTCCAGCTGTTATACCTACTATCTAGTCAGATTCCAGCTTTAATTCCAGCTGTTATACCTACTATCTAGTCAGATTCCAGCTTTAATTCCAGCTGTTATACCTACTATCTAGTCAGATTCCAGCTTTAATTCCAGCTGTTATACCTACTATCTAGTCAGATTCCAGCTTTAATTCCAGCTGTTATACCTACTATCTAGTCAGATTCCAGCTTTAATTCCAGCTGTTATACCTACTATCTAGTCAGATTCCAGCTTTAATTCCAGCTGTTATACCTACTATCTAGTCAGATTCCAGCTTTAATTCCAGCTGTTATACCTACTATCTAGTCAGATTCCAGCTTTAATTCCAGCTGTTATACCTACTATCTAGTCAGATTCCAGCTTTAATTCCAGCTGTTATACCTACTATCTAGTCAGATTCCAGCTTTAATTCCAGCTGTTATACCTACTATCTAGTCAGATTCCAGCTTTAATTCCAGCTGTTATACCTACTATCTAGTCAGATTCCAGCTTTAATTCCAGCTGTTATACCTACTATCTAGTCAGATTCCAGCTTTAATTCCAGCTGTTATACCTACTATCTAGTCAGATTCCAGCTTTAATTCCAGCTGTTATACCTACTATCTAGTCAGATTCCAGCTTTAATTCCAGCTGTTATACCTACTATCTGTTATACCTACTATCTAGTCAGATTCCAGCTATAATTCCAGCTGTTATACCTACTATCTGTTATACCTACTATCTCATCAGATTCCAGCTTTAATTCCAGCTGTTATACCTACTATCTCGTCAGATTCCAGCTTTAATTCCAGCTGTTATACCTACTATCTAGTCAGATTCCAGCTTTAATTCCAGCTGTTATACCTACTATCTCAGACATTTTTGTTTGTTTGTTTGCAAATATTTTTAAGCCCAGTCAGTTGGTCTATGCAAAACTTTAATTTTATTTTGGGCCAAATTGAATTATTTTTAAAACTTTTACATAGATAAGCAATATAGCACACATTAAATCAATCAATCAGTTGTTTAGGACTGAATTGAGATGTTTTTCCTAAACAAATTTTAATAGAATGTCTCCTTTTGTTCTTACCAAAATAAGAGTCCCTTTGTTTTGAAAAGTTAAATAACCAAGAAACATTTTTTACCATATTATGCTACAGTTTAGGAAGAATATCATTGAATAACTTAGTGGTAGTATTATCATTAAGTATTAAAAGAACCATCTCCTAGTTTGAGGGCGTAACAGAAAAATTTCATACAAGAAGGGCGATTCATTTAGTTGGCAAAGCTGGGGCTCTGCCCAGAATAAGACAAATAAATAATCACCCTGAGGGTTGGGGATTTCTCTGTTTTCCTCTACAGGTAGGAAATTATCATTTTTCTCCCATCATTCCAGAACTTTGTTTGAACACAATATTTTACAGCATTAGCAATCTGTTCTTTTCCTGATTTGCACATGACAGTTGCTGTGGAGTTAGGACAAACTTTGTGAATTCATTCTCTACTCCATATGTTTCACATTTGGAGACATTTAAATACCACTCTGGGGTTTTATTTACTTGAAGTTAGAAATATTTAACCCTGTTTATCTTTCGTAATTTCACTTAGGTTACCGTTAAGGCTCAAGGGCCACTTGTTGCAGTACTCAAAGAGAGTCTATCCAGTATAAAACTCACCTGTTTCACAGCTATACTGATTCTCACAGAGTTAATGGAGCCCTCTATCAACACTTTTTCTTTGTCATTCCTGCTGATAACTACTGGTGTAAGTAATAATTCCCTATTACTCCTGAAATCAGAAGAAAAATAAAATACAATTTAGGTATTTTTTAATGAATTACAAAATACTGCTAGCAACTGACATATCTTAACAACCTGAGAGAATGGACAAAGTAATGATCAAAAATATTATGTACATTATGAAACGAAGATTAGTAAACCATGATTAAATTATTGAAGTGTTCTTTATGTTTGAATATCCCCTACTTGGTATAAAGGGGCGTACATACAAATTGTAGACTTCCATCTGGTAATGTCATCACCGTAGTGTCCAGAAAGTGAATAGCTAATGATATAAGTTACATAAATGATTTTCTGCATCATTACAGGAAATAATTTCAAAATCTCCCTAAAAAGGTCTTTTCAACTTGTTGCGTGCATACATGAATATGCATGAATACAGCGGAAATTAACGGAAAATAAATCTAACAGTTACACAGGAAAATAAAATACTGTCATATACAGTAGAAAAGTGGCGGGTTTCCCTACCTTAAAGATTGTTACTGGTAGACCTTATATTATGTACAAAAACACGAAACATGTAGCAGGAAGATGAAAGGATATTTTGTTTGTTTTATGTATATCAATGACATGATAATGTCCTCCACGACCTGTGCTGTCAAGGTGTGTACAAGGTATACTGGCCATGGCATCTCCAAAGGGAGATTGATCAGTATTAAAAAAAAATCTGCTTATAATACACATAAAACAAAAGGAGCATTTAGAATGAATATAGTGGATTAGTTCTTGATAAATCATTTATCTGAAAAATACACTAAAAGTCGTGAGTGGCCAATTGACGACACACAATTTTTCCTTAATGTGAGCCCTGAATTATGTGGACATATTCCTTCATTCTAACAAGAAACTCACTTGACTTCTACTTCTGGTTTGTTGTGTCGCTCTACCATCTGTGAGTCGAAGTTCTGTAGACACATGGCACTTGTGAGAGTGTGTCTCACCGTATTCAGATAGGGCTTAAGTGTCGCCGACTGTAACATAACGCATGATGACCAACTACATTAGGAACAAGTTACAGTGTATATCAAAAGATAACGTTGATGAAACTGGCTGATCCCAACATGTCATGAAATTGATAATTTCTGATGTCACAAACAATAGTATGACCCTGGAATTTCGATGTGATTCTGCCTCACTTTAAATATTTCTGGCTTCACCAATCGACAGCAGAGAGACCAAGTTTTTGAAGAAAGCGCACAAAAACATCTTCAGATTGTTGTTTCTTTCGGTGATTGTAACTGTGATAGAATGGGAAAAACCCTTCTGTATTTGGAGATTTGCAATGGTATATCAAAATTATACTGTCACTCCTCGATGCCAGTAAAACACAACTTGCGACAGTATAATCTTGATTTACTATCGTAAATCTCAAGACACAGTAGGGTTATTCCTGAAACTGGAGAAAGAGAAATGAAACGACCAGACTTTGATTTGAACCCGGGATCGACCCTCCAATATCTAGATGGATGCTCTACCAATTGAGTTACTTGGTAGCTGCAGACAATAGACCCAGTCCTTCCTCTACACAACTAATTATACAATACACCAGAAATTGACTGACATAGAAATTCATGGTGAACTAGCTAATTAAAGTTCAAACTCTAGACTTATACATAGTGGGGCACAAGACTCATCCATCTCAATATTAGTACTTAACATTTGTGTCATCCTAAGGAGTATTTACATGCATGTAAAACTTGTGAATTGGCATTTGAACGTGACAGTGTCAACATATAGTGGTAAATGCCACATCCTTGTTTTCCTTTAAGACCAGGTTTAACACCGTGAAAATCATCCCAACAAGTTTGAACCAAGTTTCTACTAGAATTTTGAGGATGCAGAATCTCCCCCATGGACATTTCAAAAAGTTGGCAAGTATGAGCTGGGGAGTTATACAATAGGCTTAGCAAAAATTGTTTTAAATGGAACTAGTACAAAGTTGTCGGCTACAACGAACCAATATATCTCTCTCTAGTACTAATATTGATACCCAGCTGGGTATTAAATCGATTCCATGCCTTGTAATGGAGCAAGCCCGGTGCGATTCACACTGGGTGGATTTTAGAATTAATTAACAGCACATTGGTCTGCATCCATAAATAGGGTTGTAGCATTAACTATTTGATTTTTCTGTTGATATCCTGTATAACTTGAAGTTAAACTCTGCCTAAAATACATTTGAACTATCAAGTTAACGTAGCAAGTGCAATTGAAATCTCAATTGATCGCCATGTTGGAAAGTTTGTCTCTCTTCCGATATATAGGTCAGAGGTCTAAATATTGGTGTCATGACCCACTAGGGAAATTGAAGTAAACATGGCGGCATCAGTAGTAATACTATATTTGGCCATGCAGACCATATATAGAAAGGATAATTAAGATAACATCACGTGTGATCTATCATGGCTGTCATTTCTATTCCCCCCCCAAGACTTGGTAGATGTCGTGAAAGAGATTTTTTCATTGGTAAGGATTCGTTTTTTCAACAATTATGCAACATTTTGATAACATTATACTCATATATGGCATGAATTATATATGTAGATAGATTAGCTACATTATCAGAAAGCTACGTTATCGCAGTTAATCTCCCTCCAGTAATATTGGTTGGGGAGTAATAAATGCACATTCCGTCTTTATTAATTATTTCAGCACTTAATTTTATGGATGTTAGGTGGGAAAGACTTAACAATCAACAAAAAATCCAAAATTCTATCAATATATACAAATAAAGTAATCATTTTAACATTTCTTCATCTTTTAATCAAATTTTCAGAACGTCCTCGCCCATCCAACAACTTTAGCTAGTCTTAGTTGAAAAGCCTCTCATCACATATTTGTCGCTCCCAACAGTACTATCCGATTAATAAGTGAACTGATCTACGAAATAGCATTAACTAAAATAGAAAGACAGCCTACAACAGCAGTAATTCATTCCTGCAGAATGACCAAACAGAAGTAGAAGTGAGTCGGTAACGCCGGTACACCGTGCTGACACTACTTCCGTGTTACAAACCTGACAGTATACCGACCACTACGTTAACTTTCTCACTCTGATATGAATAAAAATCATTTGCTCGATAAAGTGAACATTATTATTTGTAATCTTAAATCATTCAACGGAAAGATAACGTTGTGAATTACTCGATAATGAGAAAGAAACCACCCACCATTTTCGCTGCAAGTCTCGGACCAAAACGGAAGTAAGTACATAAACAGGAAGCTTTCGGAATACCTTTTGACTTTTCAATTCGACTGCATAATGAGTTTGTAGCACTCGGAACTTCTCGGCCGATACGGTCATCTACGTTGGAAGGAACTGGAATCGGGGCGAGGTGTTCCGAATGGAGTTTGTAGTTGGAATCCGCCTCGCGGCATTTTTTATCATTTTACTTTGGCCAGTGCATTGCAATTCCTCACAGTTCAATACTGTTGTAACATATATTTTCTTACCTTTTTTCGTAAATGAACTCTCATTTATTTATATCCAGACTATAATTAAACACATTTTTATGTATTCATGAGATCATTAGAGCATTTAACTGTTTCAGTTTGCATTCATATTGCCTATGAATGCCAACTGAAAACAATTCAATATTTATGTAAACAATTTTTGGGAATCTCGCTGCTATTGTTTTCTTGTTCCGAAATTGTTATATCTCCAAAAAAAGTAGATTGAATGTAAGGGGGATGTATGAATTCAGTTCACGATAAAGTTCAATTCTATGTTCAACATAATTATCACAGTTAAAAAAGAAATGGAAGGTGTCTTCAATGGGCGCGTCTAATTACCCAATACTACCCAATACCACCCAATACTACCCAATACCACCCAATACTACCCAATACTACCCCATACGATCCAGTTATGAACCAAATACTTCTTAATTACTGTGAAATATCACCTTTGTAGACGTTATTTACTTCCATCTGGCATATTTTATAGGGAAATATGCGATTTGGTGCCGAAAACATCACCGAATTGCCGTGACTATGACCCAATACTACCCAATACTACCCCATACGACCCAATTATGAACCAAATACTTCTTTATTACTGTGAAATATCACCTTTGTAGACGTTATTTACTTCCATCTGCCATATTTTATCGGGAAATATGCGATTTGGTGCCGAAAACATCACCGAATTGCCGTGACTATGACCCAATACTACCCCATACCACGGAATTAGATTAGATCTAAGTCCGTGCCCATTATACCACCCAATTAATTAGACGCGCCGTCTTCAATAGGGTAACCACACATACAACGTTGGTCATCAACCAGGTTAACTCGGAATAGATCGTTTTTCAAAGTGCTAGAACGGTTTCTTAGTTTTGTATGTAGAATGTTACTTTTTCTATCACCGTAGAAAAAGTAATTTGGTACATGGGGCAAATGTTTGTCTCTAATGGCATTTTTAAACGATAAAAAAGAGGAGCTATGCCTAATACTTAAAGTTAACTGATTCCAAAGTCTAATAGTAGAAGGAAAGTAAGACATGTTAGATAACTCTAGTCTGTTGTTAGGCAGGTTGTAGTTTTCGGCGTTTCTAAGATTATATTGAGCATTTTCGACAAGGGGAGGGAGTAGAGTGTTTAGATAGTTAGGAGTAATATTATGATGAATTTTATAAAATAATTGCAGTTTCCGACGGGACGTCCGGTGGGCTAGGGATTCCCATCCCGTTTCAGTATATATAGATTGTCTACTAGCATAGGAAGGTAAACCGGTGACAATACGTCCTGCCTCTAATTGTAACTTTTCTAACTTATCTGTATTAGTAAGAGTACAACCATCCCAAACTTCACAGCAATATTCTAAAATAGGAAGTATAAACGATCTATATATCTTATTTAATGTACGGCGGTTTAGATTATATTTCAGTTTACGGAGAACACCTAATTGCTTGACTACTTTTTTTTACAAATATTGTCAATATGATAGCTCCACTTACAGTAAGCATCGATGAATACTCCCAGATGTTTATGGTTATCAACAAAGTCTATACTAATATTATTAAAATCTATTTCAATCAGGTGATTTAGTTCTATATTAGTGTAACAATGTAACAGTTATGAGGTTTTCAGCATAACGGGCTTTATTAAGTATGTCATCAATAGCAATGTGCGTTAAAGGACCATTCCAATATTTGCTAAAATATTCCTTATTTATATTAGTAATTATGCTTTATTTCGTTATTTCGAACAATTTTTGAACCGCAAATCAAGTGTTGACAACAATGTAATTGTTGCCGTTACACTAGCAAATCAATCTAATTGAAATTTTACCTTCACATCGTCCCTGTTTACTGATATCAATAAATGGGAGCGATGTGAAGATGTAATTTTAATTAGATTGAATAGCAAACGTTCCTCAAGTCCCATAACAACATTTGTCTTCGCAATGCATTACAATGGAAGGATTCAGAGCAAATGTAAATATATGATAATAATAATAATGACATCAACAATCGGCTCATGACATCTATATTTTATGAATATCATCTGAATGTGACGGTGGGGTTATAAAGAGTCATGCGATACGATGGTGAATATTTTATTATTTTTTACCCGAGGCGTATTTTAAGTATTAAAATGCATTTAAATGGGAATCAATTATACAGATTCATCGCACAAGGAATGGCTGTGCACAAATTCTCAGTCTGATACAATGCGCAGAGCAATCTGGTGAGACGGAGGAGGAGGAGGAGGTCCAGGGAGAGAGCCATAGCGACCACAGCCTCCAAGTATCTGAGAGAGAGAAGGGGCAATCGGCGAAGATGCACACTCGCAAAGAGGACAAGAAATGGATCGGAGGTAACATAATGAAGGTCGTTAGAAGAGAGTGAAATGGCCTCCAGGCTCTGAGAAGGGAACATGGCAGCAGTTCGACTAGAACATAAACAGTATCCTCGTCGCACCACTAGCCGGGAACGTAGACAAGAAAGTGAGAAGTCTGTCTACGTTTATTTACAACATCGGGTTAGAGAGGTTTTGAGAAGAGACGAAAGTTTGCAGGAAGAAACAACACCAAAGTAACAGGAGGGAAAATGAGATAAGTAACATCAGGAAAGAGTTGAGGCAGCTGGAAAAACAGTTTCGCCAAGCAATTGAGGAGGAGAAACAGCCACTAAACAAATTAAGGGAGGGTTTGAAGGAGAAACTCAAGACTTTGAGAAGAGCAGAGAGAAATCGGCAAAACTGCAAAGAAAAGAGCAGGAAAAGAGCAAGGTTCGTGTCTGACCCATTTCAATTTGTCTCCAGACTTTTTGGAAACAAGGGCTCTGGAAGATTGGGCTGTCCAAGGGAGGAAGTAGAGGAACACATGAAGAAGACACACAGCGATCCAAGGAGAGGGGAAGACCTGGGAGAGAACAGAAAACTCCTGGATCCAGATGAACCAACAGAGCAGTTTGATGAAAGTGAGCCGAAGCTACATGAAGTACAAGAGATCATCAGGAAAGCTAGGACAGGGTCAGCACCGGGACCCAACGGGGTGCCCTACAAGGTATACACGAACTGTCCTATGTTACTGAGGAGGCTGTGGAAACTTCTTCGAGTAGTTTGGAGAAGGGGAAAACTGGCAGACAGCTGGAGTATAGCAGAGGGTTGCTTCATACCCAAGAAACAGAACTCGGAAAACATGAGCCTGTCAGGACAATATCTCTCCTAAATGTTGAAGGGAAAGTCATACTCGCCGTGCTTGCGAGACGAATGACGAAGTGCATGCTGGACAACAAGTACGTGGGCATCTCTGTACAGAAAGGAGGAATTCCTGGAGTGTCGGGATGTTAAGAGCATACAAGTGTACTCACCCAGATCATCTGGGAGGCAAGGGAGAACAAAGGCAACTTGGCAGTGCTCTGGCTCGACCTGGCAAACGCCTATAAATCTATACCGCACAAGTTAGTGGAGTTGACGTTGGGGAAATACCACATACCAGAGAAGTTCAGGAGGATGATGAAAGACGTAATCGACAACTTCAGAATGCGCTTCACCATCAACAACTTCACAACAGCGTGGCAGAGATTGGACGTTGGAATAGTCACCGGGTGCAGTGCACTATATCGGTGATAACAGGCGCCATGAATCTGATGGTAAAATCTGCGGAAAAGAAGAGCAGGGGGCCTTACATGGCAGCAGGCATCAGACAACCACCCGCAAGAGCCTTATGGACGACATGACGGTGACAAAAAAGACAGTGGTGGAAGGACGGTGGACCTTAAGGAACCTAAAAGATGTGGTCACATGGGCACGTATGTCATACAAACAAGCTAATTCCCGGAGTCTCGTACTGAAGGCAGGAAAGATGAAAGAAGAACGGTTCACGATCGACGGGAGCGACATACCTACCGTGGCAGAGAAACCAGTGAAGAGGCTGGGCAAGTGGTTCAACAACACTCCAAACGATAGGAACAGTGTTGTACAGATGCGTAAACAGGCGGACAAGTGGATTAAAGCTGTTGACCAAAATTGGCTGCCAGGAAAGTTCAAGGCCTGTATATACCAACACGGTGTGCTTCCTTGACTTCCTTTGGCCATTGCTTCTATTAAGGTCTATAAAGTTCCGATGTCTTTAGTGGAAGCGCTGGAGAAAATGATCAGCGGATACCTGCGACGGTGGCTCAGCGTACCTCGAAGCCTCAGTACTGCTGGCTTGTATAGTTCGGGGACTTAACTCCGGCTACCACTCAAGTCAGCGAGTGAGGAATTCAAGGTTACCAAAGTGCGGCAGGTCATCATGTTGAGGGACAGCATAGACGACAAGGTCAGTGGAGCACGGGTAGTGACACGCACGGGCCAGAAGTGGGACGCAAAACAGGCAGTGAAGAAGGCAGAAGAAAGATTGAGGCACAGTGACATCATTGGAATAGTCGTAGCAGGGCGCCTTTGGCTAGGAACAATCTCCAGACCTAGTTGGGGAATGGCTTGCCAAAGGTGACTCAAACAGAGGTCAGAACGATGGAAGAAGAGACCAGGCAGGTACGGGCCGTCGGCATGAGCAAACAGGGAAGTTGGCTACATTGGGAGAGTGCAAGAGAGCGGAAACTATCATTTGGTGACATCTGGAGGATTGAAGGGTACTTACTTGGCTTCCTGTTGAAGGCAACATATGACGTGCTACCTAGCCCGTCAAACCTACACACCTGGGGACTTAAGGACAATTAGTATGTAGATTGCAGGTACACATGGCACCATGACCAGGTCCTCAAGGAAATAGTAGAGAGCCTCGTTAATGTC